GTGGAGATTGTGGCCATCAATGACCCTTTCATCGACCTGGAGTACATGGTAAGTGAAGATTGCTTGAAATATGACGCATCAGGATTAAGATTTTTAAATCCACTCAAGCCGTCAGCCCCATGTTTTGTAAATTCAAGTAAACTTTGGGTGAAGGCTGGTAGCTTTTTCAAGTCTTTTTAGGAGCTTGGAAAGTTATTTGGAAGTCTGAAGATCAGAATCCATCAGGAATAATAATAATTAATTTAAATTAAGTTAAATATTTGTTCATGACATTTCATTCATTTGGCAAATGTATCTGTGTCTATGCACACTGGCTGAATTAAATATGCAATAAAGGCTTTTGTCACCAGAGATGTGCTTTTTCATATTTATATGTAAATTGCTTACTGCTTTTGTCAGAATTTAGTGAAAATTGTCTTGCACAAGTTTCCCTCCTCATCCTTTCTTTTAATTTCCTCTTTAGGTCTACATGTTCAAGTATGACTCCACCCACGGCCGCTTCAAGGGTGAGGTCAAGGTTGAGGGTGACAAGCTGGTCGTCGATGGACACAAAATCAGCGTTTTCCACGAGTGAGTTCACTTAACAGGCTTCCAATGTAGAAAGATTCTCAGTTTGATTAAAATTTCACACACACTAGCAAAAGGAAGGACTGAGTTAGCCTTTGTGACTAACTTTTCTCTTTTTAGGAGGGACCCCGCCAACATCAAATGGGGTGAGGCTGGTGCCCAGTACGTGGTTGAGTCCACTGGTGTGTTCACCACCATCGAGAAGGCCTCTGTACGTACTCAATCCCTAACTCTTAACAAAATGATGATGTAAAACATTTATGACATCTGATCGACTGCCCAAAGACGACGTAGATTAAATGCTATTTGAAAACGCGTTGCAGGCTCACTTGAAGGGAGGTGCCAAGAGAGTCGTCATCTCTGCACCCAGCGCTGACGCTCCCATGTTCGTCATGGGTGTCAACCATGAGAAATACAGCAATTCCCTCCCAGTTGTCAGGTAAGAATCAGAAGATATCTCGCATACTGTTTGTTTGTTTGTATTTAAGTGTTCTCAAATTAAAATTCACTTTCTTTTTTTTTTTTTTGAAAATTTGATGCCAAAATTAAAATCTGAAGGCTTTTGCAACAGTATTACTGAGTGTCTTACTTATTGCATGTCTGCCTCAGATGGAAAAAATGTTTTGGTTGAACTTTCATTAGTCATACAAAAACTCTTTTGAGACTGTGCCCTTTTTTTATTTTAAAAATCCTCAGTTAACTGATGCTGTTACTTTGCCTTTTCCATAGCAATGCTTCCTGCACAACCAACTGCCTGGCCCCCCTGGCCAAGGTCATCAATGACAACTTCGGCATCATTGAGGGCCTGATGGTGAGGATAAAAACACTCTGCCTGGGAATGAGTTGCTATGCAGGCCAAAACGGCAACATAACAATACAAAGTTATAGTGGGTTCAGCTATATTTAACAATTCTTCTTGTTCTTCCTCTCTGTGTCCATCAGAGCACCGTTCATGCCATCACTGCCACCCAGAAGACCGTGGACGGTCCCTCCGGCAAGCTGTGGAGGGACGGCCGTGGTGCCAGCCAGAACATCATCCCCGCCTCTACTGGTGCTGCCAAAGCCGTCGGCAAGGTCATCCCTGAGCTCAACGGGTCAGTGCCAAAAACACATGACTCCTGTTGTAGTACAATATGTTGTATGTGACCTTACCTACTGTCCGTATTTTACAGCAAGCTGACCGGCATGGCCTTCCGTGTCCCCACTCCCAACGTGTCAGTGGTTGACCTGACTGTCCGTCTGGAGAAACCCGTGAGTGACCACAAACAAGAATCATTCATAATAATTAATGAACTAAAATGAATTGTTAATATTGGACACTTTCTTACTGTCCACAAATTCCATGAAAAGATGAAACTCTGCAATGAATAGTATTTCCAGCCACTAGGTGGTCATGTAAACATTAATGACTCACTGTAGTTTAGTTTTATTTTGAGTTAATCCCTCATTCCCTGTCCTTCTGACATAAATGCTAACTAACAAACCATTAAATGTGGAAAAAATGTAGTTATATTCTCTTCCTCCCCCATACCTAATATAATACCAAAAATATAATATATATATATATATATATATATATATATATATATATATATATATATATATATATATATATATATATATATATATATATATATATATATATATATATATATATATATATATATATATATATATATATATTAGTATCTGTTATATTTGATCTATTAAGTTCTTGTTTAGATGACTCCACATCATCCACAGACACGGCTGTCTGTCACTTTTACATTACCTTTTATTTTGTCTTGCTTATATATTTATGACCTGTGTTTTTTTTTTTATTTATTTATTTATTTTTTAAATTGGGGCCTGAGGCTGAGTGTTACAGACGAGGCAGAAAAGTCAAAGTATCGAGAGGCTGATTTTAGTGTTTTTATGGAATTTGATGATTAAGAATTTAGTTTACTAAGAAGTTTGTTTATGTAACAATAAAATGTAATTTTATGCTTTTAATGATCTTAACAGGCCAAATATGACGACATCAAGAAGGTTGTTAAGGCTGCAGCTGAAGGACCCATGAAGGGCATTCTGGGATACACAGAGCACCAGGTATGTGTCATCTCTGATCTTTTTAAACGATTTTCATGAATCGGTATTCTCAATAACGTGGCATCCTTTCTCTTCGCTCTCCTGCAGGTCGTCTCCACAGACTTCAACGGTGACACTCACTCCTCCATCTTTGATGCTGGTGCTGGCATCGCCCTCAACGACCACTTTGTCAAGCTGGTCACATGGTACGCCTTAATCGTGAATTAATTTCAATGCCTCATATCCATTTCCATGATTCTGATTATGCATATTGAGTCTTTTTTTTTTGTTTTTTCTTTCTTCTTATCCAGGTACGACAATGAATTTGCTTACAGCAATCGTGTCTGCGACCTGATGGCCCACATGGCTGCCAAGGAGTAAACCCAACCAGCCAATTGACCGTCACTGCACTATGTCACATCACCCACATTCTCCTGATACTATAGAGTTATACAGTTACAATAAGACGTTGTATTATCTATGACTCTGCCTGGTTCCATCAGATAGTCGACCCCCATTACATGCTTGAGGAAAAGTTCCACAGAGCACAAACGAAAAAGATTTTAATTGGTGACCAATTACTTTTTTGTATTTGTTTAAATTCCCTGTTCTGTTCTTGTGTGAGATGGAGTGAAGGTGTGAAAGTCTGTCTGTAGTACTGATGTACTGCAGTCAGTGGTGGAATAAAGTCCTCTGTTTGTGAGATTCTTGTCCTCCTTTTTTTTTTTTTTTTCCTCTCGTCGCTACACAGAAATCTATAGAAAAGCTGTTCCAGTGGGATTGATGCTTATTCTCGTAAATAGATTCTCAATATGGGTCAGTGACTTAAGCAAACCCTCACAAGAGATCTATGTCCATAGATCTGATGCCTCCTGTGCGAAAACGAGGACAGCTCTTGATTGTTTGGCCTTTTGTTTACGGTGGGAATGTGGAGGCTAATTTCTTTTGGCCCCGCAAATGGATTCTTGCACCACCATATTGCTTTTATAGATCCATTGTTAAAATATTTTTTGCTCTAACCCCTTTTAGTTCTGGTCAATACCTGGTCACTCTGTGAGAGTACTGTAGCATGACTAATGCAACCTGACAAAAGCCCACTACACGGGTTCAATATGAGGCTTTTATGAATTATGCCTGCAAGTGATTTGCTCTCCCACAATGGTAAAGTGTTTCATATTCATTTAACAGATTATTGCAATTTTCCAAGCTCATCCATTTATAGGTCACTTGTCTGAATCACTGGTCATGAGGATGAGTCTCGAGGATAAGATATGAGCACCACTGAACCACCACTTTAAATGAGAAGAGGATTTTTTCTTTAATACCACTCCGATACATATGGGAATGTGCTCTGAGTGGAACAGCATATAGAAAGTTTAGTTTTCTTTTTAAAAGATTTCTTTTTGTTTCTGATTTATCAAAACCTCCATTGAATATTCCTGAAATTAACACAGTTCCTGAGTGGTCTGTGACATTGATGGCAGCAAACACATTCATTCTGTCAGGTCACAACAAAAAAAATGAAATATTAATCATGTGTGTTAATTAAAATATCAGATTAGCAAGTTTTCCAATTACTCAAATTGAAGGTCTGAGACACATTTATTTATAACAGCAGTATTTTCCAACACCTCTACCTTTGCTTTAATATTCAAAACTGAAGCAACCGTTCTATAACATCATAACTGACAACATGTATGTCAAATTCCTTTGTGCACTTTATATTCAGTGTGTATACTTTATTTAACAAGGTAAAAGACTCATTGAGTCATTTTCAAGAGTAACACTACAGTGGAATACAAGGTCAGGAAACAAGGATACAATTGTCAATGACAAGAAGCAATCAAAAGAGTACTCATTTCTCAATCCTTTATCCACAGTAACTCCACAGTAATGAGTTCTGACAATTTCAGGTCCTTCTGTACATTATTCCTGAAAGTGGGGGCAAATTTATCTAAAAGCCTTTTTTATCTCAATCTGGGGACCAACATCAGTTAATATGGTGAGAGCACAGGCCATATTGATTTTTACAGTGATAACAATGTGTATCATAATTAAAGTAATGTATTACAGGACATGAAAGGAACCACAGGGATAATATGGATTCAGTTAATAAAAAAGAAAAACAGTGAATAGCTGGAGAGGAGATACAAGGCAGGGCAGCGGTTAAAGACTCTCAAATAACCTCCACCCCCTCTGTGTCTCTCTCTCTCTCTCTCTCTCTCTCTCTCTCTCTCTCTCTCTCTCTCTCTCTCTCTCTCTCTCTCTCTCCCCACTGTTTCTCCGCTTGCATGCCTCTCACAGATCCTTTCTAAGCCAGATGTCAACAGCAAATTTTCTCTGCAGCTCTCCTGAGAAATGCCATATGGATTTACAGGAGGTTTTAGAATAAGAATATCTGAAACTATAAAAGAAGGTCTTTGCCATAGAGGCCAGTTGAGAGCCCACAGGAAGGGACTGACAGACAGACAAGAGGAAGGTGAGTAGTGATGCTTGTTTTATATTGTTTTTTGCTTCTGATGAAAAGAACATTAAAAAGCTTTTGGACAGTCATTCCAGCTTGTAAGAATGTTGATTTTCTCAAGAAACCTATGCTCTGTTATCTTCCCTGTTGTCTTGATGCTACTGTTTTAATTTATTGTTTATTGTCTCAGTTTATGTTGACCCCCTTGGCACTCATGAGGCTCAGCTGACCACTTGCTGGGATCATTAGATGGCCATTAGAGAGACAAACAATTGAGGAAAGAGTCCTTGTTTTTTCCCCTGTGGGCACTTGTTAAGTAATATCACCAACAAGGCTTTATTATAATACTCATTTATTTATTGTACCCCGATACCAATTTAAAGATAAAATGATCTGATCACACTTGTACTGTGGTGTGACACTTTTCCCTGAATAATTGTGAAACATTAAAATCAATGGAAAACTGAATAGTATGTAAAGAAATGTAAGATTCTTCCCATTAAAGCTACAAATTATGTTGCAACCAGGGAGACAAAATTATGTGACATGATCTGTTTGATCCACATTCATTTCCATTCATCTCTTGTTATATAAGATATCATTATTTATGTAATTGACAATGCCTTGTCAAAACAAACACTTTTATTGACTATTGAACTCGGAGAGAGCAGAGAAAATGAGTAGCATGGGGTTTTTTTTAAGTTTAGGAGCCAGTGAGCAGTGACATAAAAATATAATCTGTAATATGAATATTATTTTGACACCTGAAGCTCTGAACTATAGAATATCTCACAGTTTCTCACTATTCTGTTTTACATACTCTTGAGCTTCTGCATTTCAGCTGAAACCACGCAGATATCAGGATAAAGTTGACAGTATAATTTCTTTTTTATTATTCTCGGTGTGCTTTTTATGCCTTCAGTGGTTCTTTGAAGCTCCAGGCGTTGCCTCTCTTCTCTGTGTGCTGTTTTTGGGGACTGCAGTTCATTCATGGGAGAGAATGGCTCGCAAGGGGGCTCCTGGTTTGTCCCCTCATCCATCCACCCACAGTTCCTCTCCCAGCTGTCCCCCTCTGCAGACATGGCTGTTGCTGTCTTCCTTACCTTCACAGGTGAGCAAAGGGGCTCACCTGTGAAGACCATTATGTCGGTCTCAGGTTCAGTTTTGTAATTTTTTCAAGACACAGCCTGAAATTTTAAAATTAAATAAATCATGTCATCTATTGTCAAAGATGAATGTGAAAGTTTTGATGTGAGGTCCACAAAAATTGTTCCTTTTAATGATCATTAATGATTTATCTCTATGTATTACAATGAATGTAGTTCCAATGAAGTGATGCAATAAACAAACACAGCATATATAATATACTTTAGATAGAGTGGAAAATAAATTATTTATCTATCTACAAATCTAAAGAGACATTCTGTGTGCAAGTGATTAAAAAAACAACTCTGTAAACTTTTGTAAATTGTGATCAAAAACATTTCTCTGATTTTCAAAATAGTAAATCTTTCTGTAAATAGTTTCCCAATAAATATAGCAAATTCAGAGCAACCCATATCAATTTCAGGCTTAAATTTATTAAGAATTAATTTCTGATTAGCCCCGCCCATGAAGGGTTTAAGTACAGATACAAATACAGAACATTTAGTTGGTTGAACAGATACAGATACAGATAATGGTGTATTCGCTCATCCCTATTATTTAATCATGAGAATGTTTTCTTTTTGTTCAGTAGTCAACGCAAAAGAACCAAACTAGACATTGATTAAAATCAGAATACAAACAACTTGCATCAAGCTGAACAACAGAGAAACAACAGTGGGAATGCCTTTTGCATCTTAAACATTACCTTCACTGTTTTGTTTACACAACAAATCGATGAAGCTGCAGATAAATAGATGCTCTCCTCTCACAGTCAGTCTGGTTAATTTGAGGGGGGATTTGTCAGGGCTGATTCGCTCCCTGTGGGGCAGCATGAGTGTTCAGGTGGAGGTAGAGCAGCTGGTTAGTGCCTGATGAAGAGATAAATAGCATTGATTTATTCTGAAACCAGCCTGCTTCATGTAATCGTGAACAACTGGGATTTGTAGGATTTAAAGACCAAATGTAAAGTAACTGTGATAAGATGAACAAAAATGACATTATTCGTCTCCTGCTGTATGTTCTTTCCTTTCCCACATTATCACTCTTCCTCTAGGTGTCGTATCATTGCTGGGGAACGGCACGGTGTTGTTAGTTTACAGCAGGAAAAGGAAGAAGCTCAGACCTCCAGAGCTCATGACCATCAACCTGGCTCTCTGCGATTTTGGCTTCAGCCTCTTGGGAGCGCCATTCTTCATCATTTCCAGGTACAGAATACTTTAGCAGCCAGACGCGAATCAGGGTGATGACACTGTGAGTGTGTTTATACCAGCAGCCATTTGTCAGAGACAGAAGGTGATGATCTATTAAGCTGGCAGTCTAAAGCCCTTCTCCCCCCTCTGTCAGCCTGTGTCATGCCTGGGTGTTTGGTGAAACAGGATGCCTTTGGTACGGCATCCAGGGCTTCGTGTTTGGCATCGGCTCTCTGCTCACCACCTGTCTCATCTCTGTGGACCGTTGCCTGAAGATCTGCTGCTTAAGATATGGTAAATCTGATGTCTTCTTCTAACAGACCTAAAATGTACAATGCACTCTAAATCTATCTGACTCTCCCTCACTTCCAAGGCCACACAGGTTTTTTATACAAAACCCTCCTTTTCTTGTACAAAAGTATTGATTGAAAAGAGTGATTTTCTGTGATTGCTTAGGTAACACTAAATGGTAAACTTGCTGATGTTTCAGGAAAATGGTTTCCCACGAGGTTGAGTGAACCTTCATGCTTACACATGAAAATAGTTGCAGTAAGTGGTTTGCGTGCTTCTTGCCTCTCTAGGTCACTGGATTGAGAGGCGCCATGTGTCTCTGTCCATAGTGCTGGTGTGGGTTTACACATCATTCTGGGCCACAATGCCTGCTTTTGGCTTTGGAAGTTATGGACCAGAACCTTATGGGATCAGCTGCACTATCAACTGGTAATCTCTGATTTAGTGCTGCTGGGTGCCTTTTACTGTTTACATACACTAAAGTCTGTGTATTCTCTGATTTGTATTCTTTATGCATTGCAGACAAACATGTATTGCGATAACGTCTGTATCACTATTCCAAGGTGGAGTATGAGGTCTTCTCTGAATGACAGAATCTACATTTTCCTCATCCTGATATTGTGCTTCGGATTGCCTACGCTCACCATCATCTGTTCGTATTTGGCCATCCTGCTGACGGTGAGAAGTGCTGCTTTATGACACAAAGCGGAGGATCTGGGAGCTGTGTCTTTATTCTGTTATTGTTTTTGTTTTATTGTTATTAGTCAATCATATTAAATTTATGTGGGGAATGTGGAAGATGGAAACTCTGGCACCCTCTAGTGATGGTACTGGAAAAGACACTGTGGCAGACAGCAGTGCGTTGTACCTCCTCAGGGACCCAAGATATTATCTAACTATTGACTCTACATTCAATATGAGTCAGTTAGTTTGTTGTAATTTTAAAAATTGCACATTTCTCCCTAAAGCACTGTTACAGGGGACAGGGGTTCTCTAGGGCAACATAAAGCTTCTTGGGGGTTTAGCAAGAAAGTTATTTGTTTCAGGAGCGGGTTGTTTGACAAACTTAAAGTGGTAACATATATTCAACAATATAGAGGAGCTATCAAATATCAAAAACAGCCTGTGGGTGTTGTCAAATGACAGAAATATAACAGATCGACCTATCTGTCTAACACAAAGATAAAGGAAAGTAAACCTTTGGCTGACTGAGCTGCTCTGCACTATCCATATAAATTACAGGAAAGGCAAAGTTATTGTTGTAACTAAACAATAGTTGGAAATAAGTAAAAGCTGCTAAACCAGGCCCAGTCCCAATCTGAGTGTCTCAGGTTCACGATTTGTGTCCTATCTATTGACAGATTTGAGAGACACAGTGGCCAGCAGGTCATATCAAATCACAGACACAGAATAAAATTTCGAATGCAACTGGCAGAGAAACTGGGAATCCTGGATGGGTGAGCCTGACTGGGCGCTCTCTTCAGATCACAGATGTGGAGGTGGCAAGGATGGGCAGCCAACAAAACTTTAACAAAAGCAACAAAAACATATGCCATCAGAATAAGTAAAAGATGCTAAAATTTGTTCTGATGGCTCATCCAGTAGAGCTGGCGTCCTTGCTGCAGCGGTCATGGGCTCGGGTCCGACCTGTGACCCTTTGCTGCGTGTCATCCCCCTCTCTCTCTTCCCCCACCTTCCTGTCCCTCTTCTTGGCAGTTTTATGTACAGTATTTTGTCATTTCAGGAATAAAGTGAACTATGGTATAACTGCAAAAAGCAGCATTAACTGTTGTTTCTGTCTTCAGGTCTACAGATCTAATCGCACTCTGGCATCTATACCGTCCTCCTTTGTCAGTCACACTAGCAAAGACCTGAGACTTACAAAGGTAAAGGATCATTTTCAGATTCCTTGATACACGTCCTGCAGGGAAAATAAACCGTATGTTAATTTCAGATTGCCGCTGTGGTGTGTGCCACCTTCCTCGTGGCCTGGTTGCCCTATGCCACCATGTCTCTGATCTCTGCACTCATTCCCATCGATGACCAAGAGGCAGAAGGTACTTTACAGACTGTTATGGAGGAGTCCACTGGTATGGCCTTCAGCTCTCCGAATGGTCCAAAGATCATGGACATCCCCTCGCTGCTCAACTGGACCGCGGAAGAATATTACAGACAAATCTACTACAACCCTGAGAACAAGTGGAGTGAAGTAAACAATTCAACCTCCATCACTGACCTGAGTGACGCCATGTTCAGGTCCAAAGCGGAGCCAATGGCCAGGAGCCCCCAGTCGTTGTCCTCCCTCCCACCTGTAGTCAGCTTGATCCCTGCTATGTTTGCCAAGTCCCACTGTGTGATCAACCCTTTAATCTACCAGATTATGAACAGGGAGTTCAGGAATGACTTGTATGTGATGGTGTTCGGCCAAGAGATGGCAAAGAGGAGGAGAGCACAGGGGAGGAAGGAGAGCTTATATGAAAGTAATGAAGGTGAGTAAACTTAACCTTCCACTTCCACTGTTTACAGGACTCTTTGTGTTGAACAGGAAGTTCCAGAAAAACACAACAGGCCTGTGTTTTGAGTCTCTTTTTCTTCTCTTCTCTTTAAGGGAGCATAAACCTCTCCTACTGCCAGAGCTGGATGAGGAAAAGGAGCTACCCCATGTCTTTGTCTGTCGGAATAAAAAACATGAATCGAGGCAGCAGTAGTGGAGGGAGAACAGACTCGTGGGTAAATAATATCTCAGTGGGGGCTGATGCTCTGGACTTTGAGTCCTTAGACACTCAAGACAACATGGAGAGACACTGCAGCAGCACCGGTGGACGGAGAGATCTGAGAGGGTCCACAGCTAGCACACTCACTGTCTGATAGATAGATAGATAGATAGATAGATAGATAGATAAAGTCCGAATGTATGCAGTGAAAATGACTTATCCTCCTCCAACCTGTGTGGGTTTACCGTGGGTGTACCGGGGCCTTTTAGTACTTTCTCACTTTCTGACCAACAATAAAAACATCTTATTTATCACTTATAAAACAATCTAATTTCTTTCCTTGTTGTCTTGTAATTTATATGTTTTATAATAGATATACATCAGCCTGGTTTTTGGTTGTGGTTGCCAGGTTATCCTGCTAGTGGACCCATGGGAATATACAGAATACACCCACTTATTTTTCAGTCTGCATTGGGTACAAGCAATAACTCCCCTCTGATGTGCATCATTCAGTGGGGTTCTGTGAGCTGAATTTTTATTCTTAGGCTGGCGAAGGCGTGATATAGTTTTTTTTTATTCATGAGCGGATGGAGTAAGCAATAAGGAATGCTTCACTCAAAATGCAAAATCATGTATTTCTGCTGTGGGCCAGCATTGATTGCAAAATCTGCACCTCTCCTGTTAACTTCATGATGATCCTTACGCCCTGAAGTCAAGCAGCAGAGGTTGAAGTGACAATGTGCAAATATTACTGGCACATTTTTAGGTGAACTAAGTATGCAAGAGCAGTCTTACATTCACCCATTACTGGACAGGCTGTTAAAAATAAATACAATTTTTAAAATTAAGGCATAAATGAAGAATAAACCCACTTCTCCAGGCACCACCACTCCACTGCATGGGCTGTTCCTGTAGCTGGATGCTGCCTGGCCCCCTGGTCAGCTGTGGGGTTCATTGATGGAACAAAAAGTACTTAAATAATATGTAACAATATTTAATGTTATATTACATTATTGAAATATATGGAAATTGTCTTTATGCTGTTCAGCTTTCTGGCAGTAGAGTTAGATGAGCGGTTGCTAGGCAACCAGCTGAGACTCCAGGAAGTTTACTGCTCCCATCCAGTTGGAAGATGATATCCGGTAAAACAGTAAGTTGTATTTTTTTTTTTTACACAACAAACGACATATCACCCGCTAATTAGAAAGAGGGATGCAGCACAGGGTCATTATCAGTTGGTACCGAGCAAAAATACCTAATCAATTGTATTCTAAAAATAATCAAATGACCACAAACCAGCTGAGACCATATAACCATAAGTTACACTGCCAATGGCTGAGACACAACTTGAATATGTTATTTCAGACTGTGTTTATCATATACGTCTGTTTGGCTCATAGTTTCTCTAAATCTGAATGATTTCTTGTGCAAAAAAAAAAGGGGGGGCAGGTTACCGCTGCCTCGTTGAATAATCAATATTGGGGCGGATCAGCGCTCCTCTACTCCAGTATTTACGGTAGCCTTCCTCCTCCAATCCCGCAGCACTTGCTCCTTTTTTCCTGCGGTCACATCTTGTTGCCAGAACTTCATTGAGGCGGTGACGCTGGATTTCCCCGTTAGTCATTCACCGCTCTGCGTCTTTTTCTTTTCGTTTAATTGCGTTTATTTTGCAGAACATCTCGCCGAAGCGCAGGTTGCGGAGTTGCCGCATTTTCTACCCCCTTTTGGTCGCAGCCCATTTTGGAGTCGCTTTCTTGGTGTTTTGTTGCGGACGGTCAAGGAGCACTGATCCATCAGCCCGACGTTAAACCCTCTCGGCTTTAAGGATAAGATTCTTATTTAGAAACGCTTAGCTATATAATCAGGTGAATACTGGCGTTTTGTGCGCACGTCCTTCGGGTACGTTTACCAACCATTTATCATCCAGTCATTATATTCTGTTGTAGCAAGAAAATTCCCGTCCGTGTTCATGCCAGATCTGCAGCGCTTTAGTTTTCCATACCATAGCATGAATCCTTTGTTGGGGGCCAATACGCATCTCCAACAGCATCCCCAGCAGAGCCAAGCACCCGGACACCCAGACTCTCCCTCCGGCCTCCTCCCCGACGTCGTTTTCGGTGTACCGGACCCGACTTCTTTTCTGCTGGGTGAGCAACCCAGCCCGGGGCCTGATCAGCCAGGGCCTGACTTCACTGCACTCTCACAGACCTCACCTTACCTCCACCACAACCACAGCAGCCACTACCAGCACCGCGCTGTGCCGCATCCACCCGCAGCCATGGCTCTCAGAAACGACTTGGGATCCAACATCAGCGTCCTCAAAACTCTCAATCTGAGGTTTAGATGCTTTTTAGCGAAAGTGCATGAATTAGAGCGCAGAAATAAGATCTTAGAAAAGCAGCTGCAACAGGCTCTGGATGCCAACAAGGGCTGTCAAGGTGGATGCTGTGAAAGCATGGGGCATACCCAGGAGGCAGGGGTGCAGACCGGATTTGTGGGGACCATACCGCTCAGACCCGGCTCCCTCCCCTTCCACAACACCAACAACTCAGCCCGGAGGCCTACAACACTGTTCACGGCACCATTCACAACAACCGTCGCACCTGCAACCGCTGACAACTCCAGTTCAACCCAAACAAATACCAGTTGTAACCCAGCCATCACCATCAGCCAGTGCTCTCCCTGCGTAGACTCCCCCGGCTCTGGCTCTAAAACTCTCCCCTACACCAGCGCAGGCCAGGGGGGCTCCACCAACCCTCCTCCACGGTTCCTCCCGGGCACCATCTGGTCCTACAACCACACCCGCAAGTATGGCCCCGGTGCGGAGCGTCTGACCAGCCCAGGAGTGTCCTGGGTGCATCCTGATGGAGTTGGGGTCCAGATTGACACCATCACCCCTGAGATAAGAGCCCTGTATAATGTCCTGGCCAAAGTCAAGAGGGAGAGAGACGAGTATAAACGCAGGTAAATGGAGTTAAACCCTTTTATTAGTTGTTAGTAGTTTTCTTAAGTGTGTGTAATGCTCCACTTTAGAGGAGCGAGCAGAGCTGTAAAGCAGCTGCAGACCAGCTGTCTCCAACAGGAGCAGAGTCAGCACAAAGCCTCTCCATCCATCACCTCCAGCCTGACCCTGCATCCACTTCATGTGTGACCACAGAGGCAGGTGTTGCTGCTAGAAATACACGCAAATAAAATTAACTCGTCACGGGGGGCTAAATATAAAGAAGAATGAAGGTCAAAGCTTAAGAGAGACATGTGAAGATCAGTCTGTGGGACAAATGTTCACTTCAAAGCTCCTGACTCGCCCATGGGGGCCTTTAGTTTACAGGAATATTGGGGAAAACCCATCGTGAAATAGAGCTTTTTGTTAAAACTCTCAAAATAAAAGACGTAATGTTGATGTCATCAAGACAAATCCTGGAGGTGGTCCAGTAAAGCCTCTTATTGAAACAAAACCCAGGATGCTTTAACAGCCCCTGATAGTGATTTTACTGGGATATATGAACATTCACAGCTGTAAGCCTTACAATTTAAATCTATCTAGCTGAAATGATTTGTAGATTATTGATATTATGTTTCAGACACTGGTTCTAGTTACCAATTCTAGCTTCTCAAACAGTAATATTTTGGATGTTCTGTTTCATCTATGTTTCTGTCTCAAGCTATTTGAAGATGCCATTTTTGGGCTCTGGGAAATGTTGTTATTATTTTGTAGACAAAAACAACAACAACAATGAAAATACTCATTTGTTGCTTCCCTAGCATCATGCAACATCTCAAACACAAAACATATCTGAGCCCACACTCACCCCCCTTCTTTATCATCAGTGCACTAATTTACAACAATATATCACCCAATGACATCACCACTTCAAACCTGGACCCCTCTGATTTCCAGTTTGGGGGCGGCAGCTGTCTGTGGTTGCAGACCACTGGAATGGCACAGTGTGATCAGTGTGGATTTCCCCTTTTTAAATTCTTGGAAACAAAAGCCTACATCTTGTAAACTCTTTCAGGAATTTGATGGATATCTGACAGTTGTAGATTATGTATTTGTCCTGAGTGACCTACAGTAGCCCCCATGTCCCAGCACATTCATCATTGAATTCCCTCATATTATGTCCAAATGAGCAGCCATGCATTCTTCACAGAGGAGATCCTGACCACAGTATAGTGGGCTCTTTGTGAAGGACAAAGACTGTACATACTGCCTCCCCTTTATTCCTGTTGTGCTATGTGCCATTGCAACGTAATTTCATTTTGATGCAAATCCAAATGACAAATAAAGTCTGTCTAAGTCTGTCTCTAAGTATGACACAAACTGCCCAACATCACCTTCTCTTTCTCACATAAAACCCACACAGTCTCACACGCTGAACACTTCCTTTCCCATGCCTCTCTTCTCACCCACTGCGCATCCCCCTTTAGCACACTCCACACTGTATCTGCAATGCAGCATGCACTGCAAGCTGTAACTGCTGGATGGGGGCTTGGCTTGCAGAAGGAAGCACTGCTTTCTGCGCGCTCTCACCTTACTGATCAAACGAGCATCTTCTACGACGACAACAACTCGGGTTTCATGACTCAGTTTCTTTCGGATTTAGTATTCCCTAAAGGTCCTGATGTGCCGCAGCATTCTGCATTTCAAACAGCATTCGTATAAGAGGCTACAGACTCTGCAGTGAGTGGATTTCCCCAGGGCACGTGTGTTGTATGAAGTCACAGAATCTGTGATCACATACAGGGTCTGTGCTCACACTTCTAAAGCACAAATTCAAGGGCCAGTCATCTGAGCTGCACCAATGTAGCACACGATTCATCAAACAAATGATTTATTAGTGAGTGAAAAAGCAAATCATTAAATTTACAAATCCCTTTTCCCATTCACACCTGGTTGTTTCATGCAACTTCTATCCAGATTTGTATCTTAATATAATTTAACTAAACTGCATTTACAATATATTATCAGTCAACCAGCCAGATTGAAATCCAGTTACCATTCTTGTGCACATAAAATGAAGATCCAGCACCTGATGTTCAAATTCTGGTGGCATTCCTCCTTTTTTTGTAAGTGATGGCGATTGATTTTAAAGGTGAACTGTGGAGTTCACATTCAGTGTTACTCTCCAAAACTCATTGTGTGTATCCTAGAGCTCTAGCAAACGTGTTGAGTGCATTTCCTTCCTCATGAAACATTTGCAAAGCTGAGTGAGCATTTTAAATACAACATTGTTTACATTCATGTTTACTTACTAGCTGGCCTCTTCTTCCCCGTCTTTGCTGGTGCATTGCTGCATATCTTGGTACGTTACCGCCACCTGTAGATCAGTGGATTAGTGTGAAGCCATGAGCCACTCATAGAAAAACAGTTCCATAGCACTACTAGAGGTCAAAACTCTACAGGGAACCTTTAAATGAGCTAAGTGTCAAGTTAGATTTGTTTTAAGGTAGGAGAAGATTCCTCTTCAGACTGGTATATAAGCTGATAGCAGCTGATAGCAGCTTATTGCAGATATATCGGTAATAGTGTATGCTGTATATCTCAATAACCGTACAACAATGCCAAAGTTGGTTTGAGCTAATTTAGAAACAGTGTCACTATTTGTTTGCATGGTCTCAGGTCCATTTATACCTGCCTTTCTAAACGGGTCTAGAAGATGCATAAATAGACCATGTGTACATAACTGACGAAACCCATGGCCTCTGTGTTCTCTGTCTGCCTGTTTGTTCTCTGTTTACATTAAGACACAGACTAAAAGATTGTTTACTTCTTGTATCCGTGTTAGATGGGAAGAAGAATACACCATGAGGATGGATCTGCAACAGAAAATGACAGACCTACAAGAGGTAAGATTATGTAGGCCTTTGTGTGAGAGTGTGTGTATGTGTGTGACATGGCTGGAGATCAACAATCCACTGAAGGCATCTTTACATTTGGCAGCTTTGCGATCAGTATTACTCATTCTAACAACCAAAATAAATTATTTGGTGTGACACCTTGGCTATCCTAAAAATACCACAAACACATGTCCTGTGAACAACAACCAGTATCAGTGGTTAAACAGCTTAGATGTTTAGTTTTCATTAAACTGGTGAGAGTATAAATACACAGTATGCTGAAGCTGGTAGAGTGGGAGGCAGTAAGCTCTCACCCTGCTGGCGCTGATCATTTTCTTTGTGCAGCATGTGTCATTACTATATTGGTTTAAGTCCTGACTCATACAAAGCTGTTTCAATTGGTTTTCTTTCTCTCTTTGACCCCTGACAATCAACTGATTACAGTGCATGGACTGTTCTCATTTAAAGTTGTAGAAATCATCTATTTTGAATAAAATAGATTTTACTTTTTTCTGACCCTGACATCTAAGCTGTCAAGGTGATTGCCATATTTGTACTTCCTTCCTACAAATGGTTTTGTGTTTTCCTGTGTGTGTGGGCAGGTGTGTGCACGTGTGTACACATTCTGGTGTGTTTGAATACACGTTTACCATTGCCAGGAATCTGCACCTTAACCCGTTTAGCAGACACCACCACATTTACATGAGACCACAAACGGCAAAACACCACTTGAGACTGAAAAAATGCCTGACCAGTATTGTAGCACACATGAATAAGTCATCAAGGAGAAGAGAGAATTATGATGCCATCAGACAAATCTAGCTCCCCAGAAGAGATGCATTTACAATGTCTTTATGTGCTTTTCCGATATAGGCTTTTATTTTGTTGACAATCTCTGCTTAGATAATGTAACCTGTAATTTCCAGTAAAGCCGTGTCAGGCCCTGGCTGTGTGTGGGCATGTAACCACTTACATGTACATGGGTGTGTTCTTTACGGCTTCCTTTTATGTGTGCAGGACCTGCAGGAGAGCGAAGGCTGTCAAGACGAGCTGGCTCTCAGAGTTCAGCAACTGAAGGCAGAGCTGGTTCTCTTCAAAGGCCTCATGAGCAATGTGAGCGCAGCACAACCTAAACAGTCACATACTAGTCAGACATACTCATTGCTGTGCACATTAACAGTAATCATATGTCTCTCTGAGTCTCAATGTATGAACTGGGGGATAATGTTAAATTATGTTATTATTTACTGTTAATGAGAAGCCTCGTATAAAGGGTTCGTCATTTGTAACTGGCTTAAGTGTGACATCTGAAACAAAACTCAATCAGTCACAGTGTCAATGGACCAATTGATGTTTGTTTATCAGTAATAAGCCGTTAACTTAAGGTTGCCATGTTACCACTTAACGCCTGGAAACTGATGATGATTGATGATTAACATTTACACCTGCAGACTTAATGGATTATTAAACCCAAACCCTATATAGATTACTATCATTCACACCTGCATTATTATCCAATAGAAACTGCTTATCGCTAATTTAAAAAGTAATTAGTAACAAATGTATTTACAGCAGTGACTTATTAGCATTTATAAAGCAGTAGATAGCAGTATTTTCCCCTTTTTCTTATCTGATTCCCTCCACCCTCTCTGTAGAATTTGTCAGAATTGGACAGTAAGATACAGGAGAAAGCCATGAAGGTGGACATGGACATCTGCCGCAGGATCGACATCACCGCTCGTCTCTGTGACGTAGCTCAGCAGAGGAACTGTGAAGATGTGATCCAGATGTACCAGGTACTAGGCAGCTAATGTTCTCATCTCTGGTTCTTTTATTTGTTAACAAATCCACAGAGTCCTGTATATTTGTCCTGTATATTAATAGTGGCGGTCTGAATCCTAATTATATCGCTGCAGGTTCCTAACAACCAATCATCCCTAAACTGCCGCCGGAAACAAACTCCCCTGTCCTTCAATGGCAGCGAGTGTGAAGAACCTGTCAGCACCTCTGAAAGTGATGGGGGCGTGGTCAAAGATGAAGAGCATTGTGGCTCATCAGCCAATCAGATCAATGAGGAGATGCAGAGGATGCTGAACCAACTGTGAGTGGTCTGACTTTGACATATGATGAGTATAATGTTCGTGTCCTTCAGTTCTGATATTTTCAATGTGTGTGCGTTTATGTTTTTATGAAAAGGCGGGAATGTGAGTTTGAGGATGATTGCGACAGCCTGGCCTGGGAGGAGACCGAGGAGACGCTGCTTCTTTGGGAGGACTTCCCAGGATGCACTCTTCCTCCTGACCCTACCCACCCACCAGGAGAGGTAGGCTGTGGTCAAACGGCTTTTTTTACTATGAGAGAAATGGACCTTGACCTAAATACTTTAAAACAAAGGCAACACCTAGTCAACGTAATGCAATCCAATACTACAGCGGTGTCCACACCTGATAATAACTCCCAGCTGTTCCCATGTCTGTATTTATTTAAGTCTGTGAACTAATTGTCTCACCATAACTAACCCTTGTATTGGATTCCACACTGTAAAATTTCAGTCGCAATTTTTAGTCTGCAAGGATGACCTTTGCCAAAATCTGTGTTTTGAATATGTTAGCAATGAGAAGGAAATCACCTTTAACACTTCTGGTATAATAAGCAACTCCCGATATGCCCACCATGTTTGTTTTTCTATTACCTTTATAAACCAGTCATACCTGGCCTTCAGATGCAGTAAACATCATATTCAGTCAGTGCTTTTTTTTTTTATGTAATTCTCAGAGCGAAGGACACAGAGAAAGCATAAATTGTTTCACTTGCCATCCTGAAGGCAGCTGCATATGTGTTGATATTGTTGGTTCAAATTTCAAGGAAGCTTTTAAAGTTCTGACGTCATGAGTGGAGTTGATTTGCAGTCCAATCCACTGACCTTCACAGCTCTACTGTGGCAGTGCCGTTTAAGGACAAAACACTGCACACACACACACACACACACACACAGACAGACAGACAGATGCAGAGTCTGGCCTCTATTGGTGTACAGTGTGTTTGTTTCCAAGAAATGCATGTAGGTATTTGTTTTCATTCAGCGGCTGTGTGGTGTTTGAACGGTCTGCTGTCCACTCTGCATTAGTCAGTGAAATTTGAGCTGATGGGAGCATAAAGCCAGCTGTGCTTTGATAGTCGTGTAACATCACTTAGTGTCTGATGATGATTAGCACACAAACACATGTTCAGCTAAATGTTGCTACATTTCACATGTATGTTCAGATCAGATCATAGATTCAAAACTTCCCCCTTCTCTCTTTCTCTCTAGCAGGAGGACTGTCTGGAAAAGGTGATTAATGACACTGAATGCCTTTTCAAGTCCCGAGAGAAGGAATACCAAGAGACAATTGACCAGATTGAGGTCAGACTTTTGCGCCGTGTATTTAAATTACAAATATGTAATCATTTCTCTGTTAGTATATGTTGCCTGTTTTTTTTTTTTTTTTTTATGCTTTGTGTTTTTCTTCGTGTTTATTCTCACGTCCTTTGCATTGTGAGATTCAATTACCACAGCTTTTCCTATGCCTCACGCATGCACACAGGGAGTGCAGTGAGAAGATTTACTGAAGAAGAATGACTCAACATTAAGTGATGCAGTTTTCTGGTTGTTTTTAATTCAATTCAATTCAATTTATTGTCCACAAGGGGGAAATTCATGTCCACATCACTGCACCTGCAGGCAACACCATACGCTCAACAAAGAAACACGCTATCCACAATTAACAAATCTACAGAATAAACAAAACAAAAACAAATAATAGATGACAGGTTACACACTCAGCGCGCCCCTTTGTTTAAAGCAGCAATAGCTGCAGGGATCAGGCTTTTCCCATAGCGAGCTTTCTTGCACCTCAGTGTTCGGTACCTCCGTCTAGAAGGCAGTGAGGTGAGATATTGATTGAGTGGGTGTGTAATGTCCAGTTCTATTGTTTAGTTCTGTGAGATTGGGTGTGGGGAGTCCGATTATCTTGGCCGCTGTGTTGGTGATGCGTGTGATTAGTCCGTCTTGTAATGGTGCATCATGTTGCTTTGATAGATTCCTCAATCAAGGTTCAAGAGCTCCTTAATGCATTTGTTCTTCCCGTTTTCTTGTTATAAAGCATTGCACTGTGTATCTTTTTATCTCATATGTGTAATCAAACATCTGTAAAAATGATTCTTTACTTGGACATAAAAGAGTTTCATAAAGCTGTGTGAAGCTTGGCAGTAATTGGCCAGGCACATGGCTGGCACCTCATAGTTGTGCAGAAGTTTTTTTATGGTGAACACATATACAGCATTTGTAATTTAACACTTGGAATATGTCTGACTGCATGTTTTCTGACTTCAGCTGGAACTGGCCACAGCAAAGAGTGACATGAACAGACATCTACACGAGTACATGGAGATGTGCTCGATGAAGAGAGGCCTCGATGTTCAGATGGAGACCTGCAGGAGACTCATCACGCAGACTGGAGACAGGTGACAAACACACGCGCGCGCACACACACACACACACACACACACACACACACACACACACACACACACACACAAAAAAAAAGGGATGTGAATCCCCACCACTGAGGCCGATTCGATACACATCTCGATACGCTGCCAGCGATACGATACATTAACGATACAGTGGAGCCCCCTGCCGATACGATGCGATACGATTCACATCTGTTCACGATGCGATGCGATGCGATGCGATTCATTAATGATTTGACAACGATTTGACTTTATACAATGCGATTCGGTTCGATACGATTCAACACAATACAAATAATTTACAAGCCCACATCTGGTTTCTAATGTATTTGATACTTGATTGTTTTCTATAAAGCAAACCAATAAATCCAACTTAAAAAGAAGATGCAATTCAATATGGTACAGACAGAGGATTGTTTTATTCCTAATAAACACTAAATCATAAACAAAAAATATTTTTATGTGTTTTTAATCTCATTCTCTTCTTATACAATACTAAATGTGTTGTATTCGGGCAATTTTTTTTGGCCTCTTAATAAAAAAACAAAACAAACACCTTTTCTCAGGTCCTTTTACTAATAGTGTTCTCTGTCTGTAATTTCACAATGTTTTATAAAACGCTTATAAAACTTCAACATCAACAATGTGCATTGTGCAAATAACTTCATCACAGTGCAATGCCCATACTACTGCCTGCCAGACTGATGTGCTTGAGCTGACACTCTTCTAGTTGAATTAAAATAAAAACAGATAATATTTTTTTTTTTAAAAAGGGGTTTAATTTGGCACAATGTAATGACAAAGGTCAATGGTGCTTGCAAATGCATGCAAACGGTGCAGGTTTCAGGCCTTCGTTGGTTGTTTGGCTGCGAACAACAAAGATAATATAAAATGATCGTATACAAATGTGTTGAAACTGCTGTTTGAATATTTGTGGAGTATGATGCAGTATTATCTACTATAAGGGAAAATATTTTCTAAATATTGCGGTTTCTTGTAGTATTTGTACAGCCCCAAGCCAACTTGAGTTTAAGACCTCTTCCCTACATTATTTAGTAAGCAGTATACAATCGTTTAATGAAGGGTCTGTAACACAAGTAGTAAGTGAAGTAGTAAATAAATATTATACAATTAAACTGTGGAACCCACTTTTCTTTTTCCGGTACCACATAAAAAAGAAGAAAAAAGTTTGTGTTTCTGTCTCTCACAGTAACTCTGCAGCACCTGCGTCCACTGAGGAGAGTGACCAGAGAGAGAGCGACAGGTCTTCAGCATCTCCACCTTCTTCCTCGAGCGCTGGGAGATCTTGACACTTCCTCACCTCAGCAGCGATGGGGGCTGTGGTCATTTGACCTCCACTGCATACAGCTACAGTACCACACCAACGCAATACACACCTGTAACTATGGCAACACCATGTTTACATGTGAACCTCTTCATTTACTGAGTCACACACTGTTTATCCTTCCGGCTGTCCACGCAAAGCAGCTTTGGTCTGAGGAGACTTTGAGCACTGGAACTGTGAGTTGAGTAGCACAGCTGGACTTTTGTCATTATTACTCCATGCAGATGTCACTGCCCTGCAGAGGGGAGAGGTCTTCTTGTAGTTGGACCCTGTCAGCTTGTGTTTGACAGCAGTAGTTAAGAAAGTGAATTGTATAATGGATTGTCCTGTAAAGAGTCAGAAGGTTGCATATTCACAATTTATTGTAAGTAAATGGCTGATGTCCCTGTTGTGTGATGAGGCATTACAGTGCTGCAGGCTACAGGAAAACATAGCATGACTTATTCACTCCACACATAATAAGAAAAACACGTTATAACCTGGGCATCTGAAGCTAATCAAGGAAATACCTATTGTATGGTCACTTAAAGTTCACTCCACACAAATGGACAGACTGATAATTTACCTTCTACTAGTAAACAAACCACAACAAAAAACAGACAGCAGGATAGTTTGAGTTGTGCCGGAGTTAATTGAGTGTATTTCGGAGTTTGGTATTGATAATAAGGAGCTTGAGCCTTTAAAGTCTAATAAGATGTCATAATTCAGCATTTTACTGCCTTACAGCTGCAGATTCTGATCTTGCTTTGTATCTGTATACTAACAGATTTAACCACTGGCAAAGCAAACCTTAAGTCCTAAATAAATCAACACATCTGTGCTTTAGCTAAATATAAAGTGGAAAAATCATTAAAAACATTAGGCGTTTGTATAATGGAGCAGCAGAGTTATTTCTAATGGACCAGTATAAATGAGGTTCGATTATTTATGTGCTGTCAATGAATTGGATTCAAACTGGATTTTATGGGAGAAATCCACCAGTTTAACAATGTAGCCATGTTATCCATTGCTCCACTTCTACACCAGTTCCTAAATGTTGCATTAAATCTACAAATAAATGGCCAAAATAGCTCATCATTCACAATGTATCCACTGCAGTTGCAATACATTTTAACAGTACATAAAACATTGGCTGTAAGCATCAATAATGTAATGTTCAACAAGACCAACATGGTGACCCTCGTACACAGAGAATAGGCACGTAGAAGAAGCATTTTAAGGAAAGTAAGGAACATCAACGAGGTTTCAACATTTCATAACAACAACAAAAAAAAAACCATTCTGTTAATGGTGCTTCGTAAGAAACTTAAAGGTGTGTGAGAGGTAGGCATGTTTTAAATGTAGCCATAGTCTCCGTCCTGTGCAGGTAAGATTTAGTCTGCACCCTCTTGAAGCTTATGAATGAAGAGTGTTGGCTCTTGATTCTGCTCTTGGTGTCATTGACACTCAGTACTGTATGAATGCTATATAATGCTTAGTTTAGAGTCGGGTCCCGTTTGTTTTCGAGCTGCATGGTTGAGCAGAATCGCTGTAAGGATACGAAAAGAAGAACAAAAGGATAAGTTAGCCGCTGAGTGCCAAAATAAAACGGTCAGATTATGAATCAACAGGAAATTGCTGGAAATAAAAGAATGACTAAATATAGCTGCCAAAGCTATGTCACCAAGGTGCTTGATGTATATATAACTAGACCTATTTTTGAGCCTGTAAACGTTTGCACATAGAAAGGAAGAGCAAAGCAAAAATGTATATGAAACAATCAGCACTATTACTTGTAAAACGTGACAAAAAATGTTGACACGCTGGAAATAGAAAACTATATTTCTTCTATCCATATTTCTTCATCTTTTACATGTTGCAGGTGGGGTAGTAGAATAATAAATTAACACGAACACATACCTCATTTTTACTTTATTTATGTTTTTATGTCCACATTTAGCCATGAACTTTGACTCCGACACTCTTCTACAGTAAAACATATATAGCAAACTGCTGGAAATCGTCACTGTTAGGGGAGTGCCCCCTACCATCACTGCTCTGTTATCAGACACTGTTGTCTAAATATAGTCCTGGCTGTAGTTTTCCTCTCTGTGGTTGAACCAGGTAAGCTGTGTTTCTTCTGCTTCTACTGTGACTTGCACTTCAACTCAAACTTTGTTTGAGAAATACAGACAGTAGGAGGACATAATTGAAGCTTATATAAACTCATGCATGTGTGGCTGTTGGAATCAGCTGAATGCTAAACACAGTATTTCACTACTGTTTGAATACAGAAGGAGGATGTCAGAGATGCACTGTGTGAGACATAAAACATACCATTTCCCTTTGTATAGGTTTACTTTGTCGCACTGAGTGAGTCTCTATGTATGCATGTGCCAGTGTGTATGTTTTTTGGGCGTTATGTCTGTATAGTGAGTGTTTTTAAAAAGACTTTTACTGGGGCAAATGTACAACACGAAGAAGAAGGAAACAGTCCAATTTGTTTACCTTTACAAGAGAAATTTGAGATGTCTTTTGACAATAATCACCTCAAAAATTGTAGATATTTAAATCAAATGACAATGGAGTTCTTTTTTCCATTGGTACACTTTCTTTATGAGTGTATGGGGTTGCCAAAAAAAGTCAATTTAAAAATAACTCAAGTTTAAAAAAAAAAAGAATACAACTACTGAAATGCAAATGCTTTAGTGAAATGACTGTATGATGGCTTTGATAATATATGTGTAAAGGAAATATAGCTTTGAATATATACTTGTGTTCAAGGACTGCAGATGAAGATTGTCCACAGTCACACACCGGAAAATAAACTTCTAGAAGCTTTGAATTAAGATATAATAACCGGATTGCTCTATTTAGCTTTTCAATGGAAACAATGGTGGTTGATGACAAAAACATTTTTTTTTGTCAATTCTGTCATGTCTTTATGAAGGAGAAAGCCTTGCCTCAAAATATGTTGATTCAGTTTATGTCTCATAACTATTTGATGGTAATCCTGAGTATTGATTGAGTATTCCAGATGTGTGTGTGACTATGCAGCTTTAAATATCAAGAGTATCAGTAGTAATCTAGCTTCACTGCAGAGCTACAGTATGTAATGTGTCAAGAGAGACTGAAAGAATAAAAGATGCAATTGAGCAACAAGATTATGTGTCTATATTAGTTATTTGTGTGTGTTTCCATTCAATATTTCCTATGCGCCTTGGAAAATGAGTAAATGTGAGTACCACAAATAAACTGTCCATTGTGTTCAGTTTGTGATGGAAATCTCACAATGAGATATCTCAAAATGTAGGCGAATAAAACTACAACTATCTGCAGAGGTGGAGACTAAGTATATTTACGCAAGTACTCTACTTGATTTTGATGCAAAAACTAAATTACTCAGAGGGTAAATAACTTAAAAATCCCTAAACAACTGATTAAAAAATTGTGTAGCATAAAATTGTTAAAACTAGCTCCACCTTGACCAGCTACAAAACAATAATACATCAGTCACATGGACTACTCTGCTGCAGTATATTTCATAATACTTACTACTTCCACCACTGACTATCTGCATTGTGAGATACCACTCAGAGTAAATATTGTTTTCTTTCTTGTTTGGAATTTGTCTTGACCGTTCCTTGACCTAGGGAGAATTAAATCTAGGAAATGGAATTAAAAGTGCTTGAATATTTTTCTAAAAACCAACACTCTTCAATCGTTACCGTCACTATCTAAAAGATCTGCTCTTCCATCATGTTGTTGACACAAGTTAATTGTGCACAGAACAGCTCTTTGGTTCATTGTTCGTCAGACCTTACAGTTTGCACGGAAAGTGATGAGCCTTTGATGCAGAAACATATGTGAGCCTGAAGCAGCAAATAGACTGGTTAAGGTCGGTGGGCGGGGGAGACAGGAAGACAGGAAGATGTAAGCAGGTAAGGAAACAGTGACAAAGAGGATGGGTAGAGTGAGTGACAGAACAGAGAGAAAGAAAGATAGAGTCACACCTTAAGGAAGTTAACAAAACAACAGAAGGAGAACAAAAGACATCATATTGAAGGTAGAAAATACTGTTTTTAAATATCCATTATGTTTTAATGTCACATTATTCTTTTTATTATAGATTATATTATTATTTGTGATATGAGAAATGTTGCTAGTGTTCTTAACAAAAACATGTCCTGCCTTTCAGTGTGGTGGTTTTAGCTGACCAGTTGATATCTTTATTTTTTATGTTCTAAATGTTTCTTCGTAGGATGGGACTTGTGCAATGTCTTGTGGTTGTCTTGATGTTACCTGCACAGTTGGTTCTCACCTCTCCGGTAACAATGTCCTTCCTCTTCGGTTTATATAAACTGTATTAAATTAGTTGTTTAAATTGAATTAAACTGTATAATTTTATGTTTATGATGTAGCTCAAACTGTCAAATGTACACTGTATGTACATGTATTAATTACAAGTTAATCAGGACTTTGCTGTGGTGTAGTGGTTTGTCTTTAACGGTATTAATGTGTTAACAGACAGAGCCGACCAAATATTACACCCTGCAAGGCAGAAGGTGTAGATGGTGCCCTGCAGGTAAATTAGTTTCTTCTACTTCTATTACTTCTATATCTGTTTTTCTGTTCCTCATTTAGCTTTGACTCAATATTTTTAATGAATGAATCAGCAGTGGTTCATATTTGGAAATTACTATAAAGCACTGAGGCATACAGTATCTTTCTTTCTCTCTCTCTCTCTCGTCTGTTTTATTGGCACGTCTCTGTTTGTCTTGCTGAAAAATGACGCACACTGCACAGAGAGTTTATACTGTATGACCACATCCTTCATTAATATGCACTTTGGGTGAGCAGTCTCTTTGCCATCCGGTTGTTCTCATTTGTTTCTTTCTGTTCTGTCAGGTGAGTACCAGAGCTCTTGTACCGAGTGCTTGCCCTGTCCTGCTGGAACCTTCACAACTGAGAGCAACCGAGAAGAAAGCTGCCATCCCTGCTACACAGACTGCAAAACAAGTAAAGAAACTATGAGTAATTTCTACCGAGTTAACGGTTTCATCCAGCCCTGTCAGGACTGTGATACCAGTGACCTTTGGGTTTCTATAAACCTGAAAATCTATTAATCTCATTCTCTTTGCATTTCTGGATATGACATTTTACTGCAATTAAAACCCCTAAAATCACCTCTATTTTCCACTATCTCAGATTATCATCAGAAGGTGGTTCAGAACTGCACCAGAGAGTCCGATTTGAAGTGCATCTGTGAGGCAGGTTTCACATGCACTGCAATGGTCCCATTATCAGAAAACTGTAGAGACTGTGAGAAGATCAAGGAAACAACCACAACGGGTAAATGCACAGCAGTGCGGACTTTCAGTTCTTTCAGATTAAACAGGCCTCAACCAGCAGGGGGCCTCATGATAAACAAAATATACTTGAGAAGAGTTCACTGACTGTAAAAATGACTGATAATTATACCCAAGGCTATACATTAGTCATTTACACATGTGAGCGTTATAAGATGTTATGAGCTAAGTCTGAGCTTGGGGGGCTCCCCTCTCAGTGAGGTGAAGAGCACTATAAGAAATATTCAGATCCTTTACTTAGAATAGTAAGAGTACGGTGTGAAAATACGACGTTACTGCTGCATTAAGTCATACTTGAGTAAGCAAGATATTAAAAGTAATTGTATTAATTTTGATAAAAGGTCTGGTGGACACTTTAAACATTGGTGAAGAAATACTGAAACACTGCAAATCCACAAAAAGATATAAATATATGAAATATGAGATACGAAACAAATGAAATGAATGTTGTGCTTTCAGATTAGAGTTACTTGCAGCTAAGTTGAGAAAGCTCTTACCCTTCCTACAACAGGAAATGAGAGAGCGAGAGAGAGAGCGAGAGAGAAAGAGAGCGAGAGAGAGAGAGAGAGAGAGAGAGAGAGAGAGACAAAGAGAGAGAGAGGAATGCCACCCAGCAAATGTCCTTAACTGGACAACCAGTGCAGCTCATGGTTTGAGCCTTAACCCCTACACTGCCAGGATGCCACAAATATTTGACTTTTACCCAACAGCAGTGTATATTTGATCTAATTTTAAGAATAATGTACAATTCTAAGTATAGTATTAACCACAGCTGTCAACTAAATGTATTCAGCTAATGAACAAAACTTTCCTCTAGTAATGTAGAGGTTCAAGTAACCTTCCAGTAAGTTCCAGTAAATAAAAACAAAGGATGAAAGGAATAAGGAATAATTTTCCAGCCATGGGTGTTGTATTGTTTTGAGACGTGAGACGTAAGCTCTCTTCTCTCTCTGATCCCTCCCCCTCTAGTTGTTTGAATTTTGTTTGGCATTTCTACTTGCTCACACATTTATATACATCTGGTCTTTATCTTTACCATTAAAGCTGCTGCCATTGCCAAAACATGTCAGTGAGCATTAGTTTGATCCTGCTTTTGTCCTTTTAAATCTGAAACTAAACCTGTGATGTTTTTGTCCTCCAGAAGCAGCAACCATTATCTCAGACAACGATAAACACACAGTGTCATCAGCTTCCTCAGCTTCCTCGACTTCCTCGACTTCCTCAGCTCCCTCTGGACATAGCAGCACTTCTGCCAAACCCTGCCAATTCCCAAAGTAAGTCATGGATTTCCCCACACACAGTACATAATGAATACCAAACAGAGTGGAGTTTTAAAACTTTTGATTCACATGACACCCAAAGCCAAGATGACTTATATTGCTCTCAGATTTACAGTGGATTACATTAAGAACATTTTAGCATTTGGTACAGATGTCACAGATATTGTCATATGTAAGACCGAGATATTTAACACTTTACCTTTATCTCGCACAGGTGTGCCGTGTCAGTCTCAGAGGCAGGACATATCAAAACAGGTAAGTGTTTATGAAAAAAAAGAGTGTGACAAGACTATGAAAAATCTTTTTTTAGAGGCAGAAAGATAAAAGAAAGCTACTCTAGCACCATGGCCCTAGCAGTGGCACTGCTGGTCATTCCAGACTGAAATATCTGAACAAATATTACATGGATTGCCATGAGAGTTTGTACAGACATTCATGGTCCCCAGAGGATGACTCCAACTGACTTCCAACTGAATTCTCTTTTAGTGCCACCAGCAGGTTTACATTTTTGGCTTTTAGTGAAATATCTAGACAATTATTGCATGAATTGCCATTGACTTTGGTACACATATTCACGGTGCCTTGAGGATAAATCCTACTGACTTTGGTGATTCCCTAACTCTTCCTGTAATGCCACCAGCAGTTCAGTGTTTTTACTTACGCTGTGAAATATCTTAACATCTGTTTGATGTAGTCCCACAAAATTTTGTACAAACATTAAAGCTGCATAAGGTAATTTTTATAAAAAATAACTTTTTGTCATATTTGCTGAAACATTCGGAGAAAAATAGTTGAGTTTCATTCCCATGTCATCAAATACCAGTCTGGTAATGAAGTAATTTTCAACCTACCAACCAAAAGTGTATTTCTATTTTTCTTGGCTCTGATTGGTTGTTTTCATTCAGGCCTGTCACAAGGAGGAGAAAGGGGACTTGATTTATTTCAAAGATTATCTGTCTTGTGTACTACTGTCAGGATATAGTGAAGGATTCAGCAAATATAACAAAGTAGTTTTTTTAATAAAAGTCACCTACTGAAGCTTTAATGGTTCCCAGTCACCAGAGTCATGCCCAGTAGGTTCACATTTGAGGTTTTCTGTGAAATGTCTCCACAACTTTTGCCATGGAATTTGTTTCAGATAATTACGTTGCACTAAGGATGAATTGTAATAACTGGTGACCCCTTGACTTTGCCTCTAGCACCATCATCATTTTAAATTACAATTTGTCCCATTGGTTTATGACCAAATACCTGAAATGACATTCCCATCGGCCTCAGTTGTACAGTGTGATTAGGGACAATTAGCAAATGTTAGCAAGCAAACAGGCTAAACTACCTTGGCAAACCTGCTAAATATATAACCTACTTCACAACACCAGGTTAGCATTGTCATTGAGAGTATGTTAGCATTTGGCTAAAAGCATGTCTGTTGACTCTTCCTCTTGTTTCTTTCTCTCAGACAGCAGTCAGCTGGCAGCCATCTTGTGTCCTGTGGTTTCCATTGGATTTGTGGCCCTTATAATCCTGTTCTTTGTTCGTCGCCCCAGAAATGAATCATGTTTCAAGCAAGGTCAGATGGTGTTTACACCCAGGGCAGAGTTTCTGGTGTCTCAGTTTAACCAATTGAACCCTTGAACTTTATGATCAAATAAATCACTTCTGGGAAACAATAAACTGTTTACTGAAAGCCAGTTTAAAAATGTGACATTAGCTTAGCAAAGATAGACTGTTGCTATGTGAACCATTGACACATTAAGTTATCAGCGGTGGCCATGTGTGAACTGACTTTCTATTATTTATCTTCTGTTTCACAGTTATTGCATTGCTGCTATGCAATGAGGTAAGTTGCTACTTTTAAAAAACTTAATTCTGTCACGTACAGCATATGGCATAATTTCCCTTTTGTTTGGCCCACGTTGACGGACACGTTCTTCTTTAGGGAGGTAGAGATGCTTCTCACAAGTCGAAGGAGTCAACTCATCAGTTCCCCAGAGACTCATTCAGTACAAAACAGCAGCCATCATCCCTTTCGGCAGCCAATCTAGGTACTGATGAGTGAAATGAAGACTTTCATGTGAAATACTTGACTCACTTTGTGACGTTATTAATGAAATAAAAAATGTAAAAGATGCACCTGTGATACTGTTATGAGATGAGTTGTAACTACTTGTCGCATTTTATAAATTGTAGGTTAATGCACTCCTGCGGATCAATTAAAACAAGCCTGCTCTCTCTGCTTGTTCTTCTCTCTATAGGTCCAGTCCATGTCCACAATCCGGGCACGGTCATCTTTAGCTTGCTCAGTCAGTTTACAGGCCAGGTTGGTCCGACAATTGAAGGTGGGAAGACGGTCGAGACGAAGAGTGGCGAAGAAGACGAGAGAGACTGTCCTGTGTTTCATCCCACATCCTCTCCCAGTATTCATCTCTCTGAAGAGGAGAGGAGGGGAGAGACTGAAAGCATTTTCTTTCCCTCCCAGGAGCAGGGAAAGGACTGCCATGTTTCCAAAGAAGAGTCGCTATGATACATTGTGAAAACCAAGATTTGTGTTGGTGGTTAGGACCTCCAGCATCCAGACTGATCCTAAAAACATTCTTCTAAAGAAAGGAACCATAAAACTGTGAAACCACAGAGTGTGTAGCAGATTCATCCTTCTTTGGCAAACTGTGAATCACAGTGTTCTACAGAGATATTTTTATATGCAGCTTCTGGGAAAACTTGAACCATGGGAAGAACAGCTGGAAGGTGATCTCCTTTGTAAGTTATAATTTAATATGTAAATATGTAAATATTCTTTAATGATATCTCTCTAAAGTATTAGATTTGAATGTTTAATGTTGCATAAATATTAGGCATTTTGATTACAATAAAGTTTTATTAACAAAACAAAGTAGAAATGTATCAAGTTAAAAACATTCACATGTGATGTGTATAATCCAACTGCAAAACAGAAAAAAAGTATATATACACATATAAAGAATATCTTTAAATTCTGTGTACTAAAGTACATACCAGTTTATCAACACACTGCACAATTTCTGTCTCATGCATAACCACCAGTGTCACACTGTATTTCCAGATTTTCGAGATTTCAGATGCTTAATCTCCTCGATTTTATACACTTTAACCATTGTAACGTCACAGATGTCAAACACTCATGTTTCCTCTCAGGAAACAGCATCAGTCTTTCTGTGGTTCCATACGTCAGCATGGACCAAGTGACATTTCGTTTGCCTCCATTTATCATAAATGTCCAAAGCAACAAGAGATGTTTTACATCTGCCACGTGTCACTAATTGTCCGCCAGTGAAATTTTTCTAAAGTTCAAGTTTAAGTTCAGGATCTAGTCTTTAACCCATCATACGTCAAGAGGTTGGTCACATTTCCCACATACTTCCTGGACAGGCTTGGATACACTGTCGTCCTCTTGGAATGGTGGCATTGGTGCAGGTGTTTTAGCCAAAAGGTAGCCTGAGTAACAAGATAATAGGGGAAGGGTTTTTTTTTTATACAATTGCATTGAAATACAAGAAAATAATGACTTTAGATAACAAAAACATAAATTCATGAACATTATAAAATGATAAAAGTACTACACTTCCTATATTTGAACGGGTTATGTGATTCATAATAATAATCTACTAACCGTGCTTTGATCTGATCCAGTGCAGAAAGGGCTTCATTTTTGTTATACCAAAAAAGCTGAGTATTACAGACAGGAGGATAATTATCACCAGGAACCATGCTGTATCTGTAAGAACTTGTAAGAGAGAAATTTTTTTTTTTAAATTTAGACGAACATCCACTGGAGAAAGAGTTTTTTTTTTTATCTGCACAGACAGAACCAGTAGTTCAGTGGAAATACTAAACTATTCATACTTAAGTGTACAGTGAGCTCACTCTGTGGTACCTTATTTTTTGCACTGTGGTCATAAAGACTGGATTGATAAGCACATAACATAATTTATAGCTAACTCGTGTCACCTTGTGTGTATGACCTTACTCCCTGGATACCGCAGAGTAAACAAACAGTTGCTAACTGAGAACATATGAATAAATATTTATTTGTATTATTTTTAGTAGATTACATCAGCACCAAACGGTTTGAGTTGAACTTGGCAACAGTTCCGGAATGCTCTACAGTACGTTGCCATGGTTACAGTGCTCTCTGTAGTGGTAGAACATGTTGCCACGGTTGCAGTTCTAGGGAGCTTTTGTTTTAAAGCAGCAGAGGCGTAGCAAGTAATTCAGAGCCCCTTAAAAGAGCAAAGACCCCAGCGAAGACTGCCCTTTAAAGCAGTAATTAATATTAATTTAAAAATAAACTGTAAACACAACATTGGCATATTATCGCCTCAGATGTTAGCAAAAAATTGGCAATTTACACATCGAGCAGACACAGACGGCATAAGCATTAATTTGGAGTGAAGTTTAATGTTTTCAACCCTCCCTTAAGCTCTGTTTTGTTGTGATTTTTAAGCTGCTAAATTCTCCGCTATGTTCACCAGCTAGTCTGGTAGTGCTAGTCTTTAGTGCTGGGCAGGTAGCATACAGTCGGTTAATCTGAGCCTTTTTCTGCTAAAAAAACAGCTGTCTGCAGCTGCTGCTGGAAACGAGGTAGATGAGTGGCAAAACAATAAAATGATGTTACTTAATACCAAAAGAATGAACTGAAAGACACTAAAAGACCACATCCAGCAATGTGGTTACTTCTGTGGTAACCTTTCATCCTGGTGGTAGGTTTGTTTCCAGTGTTTTCCATATTCAAGAATCCAAGGATTCAAGGTTATTTTTATTGTCAGATATAGTTCCCTTTATACTACTTTTAAAAACAAAATAAATTCTATGTATTATATGCTGACTCTCATGGTGTTCGATGGCCACACCCATCCACAACAAAAAACTTGGTTTGTTTAAACAGTATGATGCTTACAATGTAAAATGCAGTTTCAACAGCTATGTGTCGAATTTGGTTGAATATGCGGAACAGAAGTATCCTACCTGTAGTGGATGAAGAGGTTTTGGGTGTGGTGCTGGGTGTGGCTGTGGTGGTGGGTGTGGTTGTAGGTTTGGTGGTGATTGGTATTGGCACACACATTTTGCAGGGTTGTTCTCTGCATTCATAGCCAGCTTTACATCTGCACACGGAGTCATGGGTGCTGTTACAGGCTGACATATACTCCATGTTTGCTGTACAAAAAATAAAAAACAACAATATTCATTAAAAGATGAAGTATGAGCATAATTCAGAGAATGTAAGTGTGTGTGACAAACGCACATGTATGCACAAAGGTTGTCTATGACACAAATCAGAAAATGAAAAATGACTCAGAAACAAGGCATGGCAGGTAATGATTCTGGCTTTAAGTCATAAGACAGTTATATTATCACTTGTGTTACCTATTCTTGAGGGACAGCTGTTATTTCTCAGTGAAAGCAGTATTTCACTTTGATGAAACATTTTCTTTCTTTCCGAATGCGTTAACAGGCAATGTGAATTCAAATTAACAAAGAGAAAACTAGTTGTATGAGACCAATGGAGCCCTCATAGTCATCACCAAACATCTGTGTTAATAACCAATCCAACAGTTTACACTACTACTACAATAATGACAATCTTTTGTAGTTGAGTCATTTAGGGTCATAGCTCAGAGAGAACTTTAGATGTTAGTGGTTCCATTTTTTACATGAACTGATGTAGACTGTCTACAGCTAAAACTTAATTATAACCTCAAACACAGACACACTTTCATTATGTTTGTTGGGTGTAATTACATTATAACTATATAGTTATCACTCTGCAGGTGTGTAATATAATCATATGTATGATGTTGGGAGGTCACATTTCACCATAGAGCAATGAATTTGGAGATGTTGGAGCTGGCATCAGCTCTTTAGCGTGGTTGTTACCCCACCCACTACTACAGTCTGCTGTCCCACAATAGTCTGTTATAGCACAATGAAAAAAAGTCTTCAAATTGCCACTATTTTAAGTTTCTTACACTGGATAATCCATAAAATATGCATATAAATGAGGACAGAAACCAGTATAAAAATTGTGGGTGATTGTGGATTTAGAACAGTAGAACTGATATCATTTAAGGGGCTCTGAGAACTGAAAATGTTGTGCTTTAGGAAAATATTAGCAAAGTTGAATGTTTGTGGCATGGTGCCTCCTTTAAAACTCTGTTTGCACATCCTGATGAAGACCAAAGAATAACCAAATAAACGTTAATACTGTTGCAGTGCAAGAGCAGCATGTACAATTTTTGTGTGGGTTGAATCATTTCCACCTAAATTAGTTTCCATTGCCGTTAATTGGCCTAAAGCCAGCCCCTGCATGTGTAGGATTAAAGGATTTTGACATTTTGAATGCCCGCCCCTATCCCCCCAAATTATACTATCTTCTATCAAAGAGTTCTGTATGTAAAATTAGCCTTTAGAAGGTTTGTTTACAGCTGCACTGTTAACGTTGGATTTAAATTTGCTAACACTGTTACAATATTTAAAGAAAGCATCTTGTTGCTCATGTAAAAGTCAGGCGCTGCTAAAATATTCATGTACCCAAATTTCAGACTGAGAATTACATACTTTCTCTTGTGTGTTTTCTCTATTCTATGTTTTCCACAGTGACATTTACAAATAAGCATAACAGGCTGTTTTTGCTCACCTGTAGCAGGGCAGAGACCTGAGTAATAACCTAGAATATGACATTTATGTCTGCTGCTCTTTCCGATGTTTACCACTTTTCTGTTTTTCTTTTTTTCCACTGACATGACAATGGTCTACTTTTTTAACCTCCCCCTGTCTTTGCCACTATTGGTGGGCTGTGGTGCCTATGCTGGTTTAATTACCATGAAAACATGAACTTTTGCTGCAGAATTTCACTATAATAACCCCTAGGCTGGTTCACAGAGGGATTCTCAGACCCCCCCATCACCTCTTCCTTTTAATCTCTGTCTGACTGTATCCCACCATGAACACAGAATGGGAAATCCCCTTGCATATGTGACCTTAAGGTACTTCTCTGAAATCATGATCAGACAGAGTTGAGTAACAATTAACAAGTTGTTTTCTCTAAGGTTTTGTGCCTAACTGGACAAAGTTGGTGGTCGGGACTGCAGAGAAATGATGAATCACTCACATACAGTATCATTCACAGACATCACACACAAGATAAACAGCAGACCACAATGTTAAGGGGGAATGGCAGATAGTATTTTAGTATTTTTGTAGTCATGTTTAATAATAGATATGACTGCATGAGATCTGCTGCTCTGTTTTATCTTTATTTTTTAGATTGTTCAAGTTTTCTTCTTCCACCTGAATATCTGACAATGAAACGGGCTAATAATCATATTTTTTTTTAATACGTTTTTTTGGCCTTTTATTGCCTTTGTTGATAGTGACAGCCGAAGATAGACAGGAAGGGGGGGCAGAGAGAGAGGGGAGGACACACAGCAACAATCATATTTATGTATTGATATTGTACTATAGCTATGAATAACAGACTGTTGCTATGGGCATAGTTCTGATCCTAGACTCTGGGGGACCACAGTGGAAACAATAGAATCATTTTTTAAATCAATAAAATCATTTAAAATCAATATTTGGGTCAAATTATTGATTTATTTACTAAGTTATTTGTGTAATAAGCAATACAGGGTCTTGGATCCTTCTGTCTGGGGTTTATTTTACAATAATGCATTATCCCTTACATATAATATCATATAAGACTTAATAAAAGTAGAATATTCAACGAGTTGTTCACAGGTTTCACACATAGTTAGCACCTCACCCCTAAGACAAAAGCTGTGAAACTACTCACGTTTATTGCAACTTGTACAATGTTTGCAGTATAGCTCCACGTTGTAGGTATCAGCGTAATGGTCATCCTCGCATGTTTTACACTCAGTTTGACATTCGGTATTTAGACGCCGAGCCAAAGCCTTACCTGTAACACACATACACAGTAATTTACAGTTATAATAACTTGTTTGCATAAAAACTAGGAAATCAAGTCAAAAGAAGTAATTGTACCTGGCGGGCACTTGTTACAGCAAAACTTGGAGTCTATCACTGGCCAGGAATATTGTGTGTCATCGCACTGTAAGGAAAGCACAGCAGAGAAGAAAGACAGACTGCACAGGAAGGTAAAGGCAAAATGACAGAGTAGCTGCATCTGGGAAGGAGAAGAGGAGGGGTACGAGCAGAAAGAGGAGGAGGAGGAAAACAATGATTTATTTTGTCAGATATATTCACATACTAACACCAACAGATACGGAGTGAAACAACATAAATCTTCTAGAAAATGACTAAGGTCTATAATGCATACAATATAGTCTATACAGCCACATTAAATGTAAAAACATACAATAGAACTGATAGAAAATTAGTAAAAAAAAAAAAAAGAAATTCAGCCTTGTGCTGATACAAACATCTATTAACTTTACATTCTACTGCAGGTGAAATTACAAGAACATTAATTTACAAATCTACTAACATTCAACACGACAGGACACTTTTATCTAACAGCGCTGGCTGAAAATGTATTACTTCAGTTTTCACTTACCATGGACGAGAAGGTGAGAGGAGATGTAACCAGGGACCCTCTGAGTGTGAGACTGAACAGGGGACCAGAAGCGTGTCAGGGGATTATTCATCTCTGTGATGACTCATCATGAAAGATGATACATTTTACTGATCTTTTTTAAATCTCCCTGCCCTTATCATTCTGTCTTCCATCCTGTCTCTTTGTTACGACCCCAAAAACATGCCCCCCCCAGCCTCCACTTCTTTCCACAGGCCCCATCTGTCTCGTTTCATCCTAAATCAATCTTTTGGTTGCTTGCTTTCTTTTTCTTGAGTCTGCCCCTTTCTCTCCTTCTTAAACTTGGATGACAAGGTAATTTCAGTAAAAATATCACATACCACTCATTTAACTTCCAGCCATCCTGTTGCTCTTACAGAAAGCTGTTGAGGAGATAAACATTATTCCAGGAAATGACAATATGCTGATGATGCAGTGCTGTAACTTTATGACACAGGAGTGAGTGATAAAAGGAGATTTCTATTAACAATACCAAATACAAAGATAAGACCAAAATTCTTAATTAAACAGGGAAATTAGTCACCTTATTATAAATGTCAAAAATCATCTTTTGTTTTTGAAACATGAATGAGTGGTTTCTAGTGTAATGCATGCAAACTTGGCAACTTACCAGGATGCAGCAGACCGCCATAGGACAACACACAACACAGCTTTCTTGGAGGGAGCTACCCCAAAAGTAATGCAATTTGTATTCAAGGATTATGCTGTGGATGACGGTAGTAAGAAGAGGTCTGCAGCTCAAAAAACAATGACATGATCACCACATCATCCATCACTGCAAAACCCAGAAAGAAAGTTATGTGAATGTGTCTTATTAGTTAACTTATTGTCGGCTCAAGTTTAAGCTTTGTTAGACGTGGTTTTTAATCTTATGAATTTTGTTGAAAATCCATATCGTCAATATAAAAGTTATGGAATAATGAAACGTCAATCTTTGCTCACTATATCTTACCTCTCTTGCCATCAAGTGTTCATAAACTACAGGTTATTCACTTTTTAAGATACAAAAATGGGAAATTTTCAGTTATCGTATCCCCTGAAAAAATATCCCTACTTTTAACTGATTTTAATATGGAGACTGGGGGAGACCATGATACTTTTCATGTGTGGTGCTAAGATAACTAGTTGAGAGAAAAATTATGCACTGGGAAATTCATTCTAAACAGTACAAACTAAATAAAGGTGTGAAAACTTTATTAGTGATAACCAGCTAATTTGCATTTATGCGAAGATCTTTACAAAACACTTTCTAAATCTTGTGATATATTTTTCTTGACTTCCAGTGTCTGTTTTTGAAAATTGTAACTGTAAATTGTAACAATTGTATCTTCTTCAGCAACATCCTTATCTCAAACCGAATTAGACACTTAGTGGCAGGATTTCTGAGGCTTTTCTTCAGCCTGTCCACCATTCAGCTGTTAGTTCACTTCACATCACCCCTGTCATTTTTTACAGAGACCAGGCCACAACACGTGACCTCCTGTCAACTGTGAAATGGGGTCTAAGGTTGACGAAGCAGCATCTGAAAGGGGCTGCCTCCAAGGCCAAGTGTGGCTCTCGGCGAGTGGCGCAAGTACAGTGATGACTGGAAGAGAGATGACTTAGCATGAAAGCTCCTCTGAACTGACTATTCTATACCTAGTCATGCCTTTAGTGGGGTTTCAGAATTAGGATGCGTGACTGTAACGATTCGTATGTTTAGATTAGAACTTCTGAGGGATCTTTGCCAGGAACATGTCATCCATGTTGTGTTGAGATAAATAGATACTTAACAAAATCCACATGCAGATTCATTCAGAGCTCAGTCCAATTGTCACAGCTGACCTCACAGGCTGTATGAAACTCAGCAGTGTGGGTGCTTGCACGTGCATGTATGAGAAGACCTACTTAAAAAGACTGTACGCCACATGGCAATGTTAAGTATTACACTGCCATTATACAGCTAGAGAGAGAGAGAGAGAGAGAGAGAGAGAGAGAGAGAAGGAGGATGAGAGCGATCAAGGATGTGGTTTTTCTGAGGAAGTGCTTGACTTGCTCTGCTGACTGAGTTCTTTCATGTACTGTACCAGCAAAGTCACGTGAGGCTACACTCTGCTGGCCTGCTGAATAAAGTACCAGCCTATTCTTTTAATTATGGTCACCATAATTAAAGGTGCCCATAATTACTGTGCATCAAGTTCTACATTGTCTGCACTTACTCTTTATAGACATTTACCCAAATTAAAGGAGAGTTTTCACTATGGACATCGAAATACTATATTTATTTTATTTTTCTCAATATATGTGACTTCTACATTAAAAATTAATTTAAATGAAATTAAAATTCAATTTCTTAAAATCCATTGGTTTCTCTATCTATCCCTGTGTATTTGTTTAATTTGTAATTGCAAATTCCTGATATCTCCCTGGAATTTTCATGATATTGAATGCAGTTTAAGAAGGGGTTAATTAAGGTAATCTTGCAACTTATTATTATTTATATTATTTAGTATTTCTGCATCTCATTCAACCTTCTTTTACCTAGGAGTGAAGTAAGGAATGATGTGCATACGCTATGCACTGACTCACCTGTCTTGTTCGTTACATTGCAGTAGTTAAAGTGTGTGTTTTTCTCGGAGATGCCTTCTTGCCAAACTCTGCCTCACACAAATTCCTTTAAATGAGGCTCGTGACCAACTACTTCCCGTCTGAGTCCGCCTCCGCTCGTGCACAGAGGACAGGGCATCGGGGATCGTCGCGCCGCTCTCTGTTTAATAATTAAGTTAAATTAAAGTAAAATATAAATTAATGTCGGTCTATGGACACATGAAGTAAAGAGATATCCCTCGTTATAACAGTTATCCAGGTAAGTGAAGGCAAAATACCTCTGCATGTCAACTATGTGGGAAGAGGAGATTCATATCAGACTGTGGTGGGCGTTATGTGGTCTAGCTAAACCGAAACCAGTGAGACAAGAAACAAAACAGTAAAATTTTGACTGTAGAGTTACCTTTTACATGCGTCAACGTTATCTGTAAATGCGAAAGTCATAAGATTGAGTTTTGAGGGCTTTAAAGTTGTCAAAAGTTCAATCTTTAAGAGGTTCAGTGTGACGGGGAATTTGGGGTTGAAGCTGCCAAACAAGTGGCGCAGGAATATCAGAGCCGTTTTTCAAAATTGGCTGTTGACCATTTTGTTCATTTTGTCTCTACTAACAACATGTTGGATAAACTAACCGTACATACTTTTCTCTTATAATGTGTGTTGAATGCCCTTAAACCACCTATAAAGGGCATTGATGGTGGATGACCTTTTTTCGAGAAAACCTTAAGTGACTCCACTTAATGAAACAGTAAAATGAAGAATTCAACCCAAAACTTGACATTAACGTCATTAACATCAAAAAGTGTAAGAGTCATTTGTGATTTTAACACTTATATGTACATACATACCAGGAATATACCAGTACAACAAACCGAAACAGTTAAAACAAAACTAAAAAAAAATTAATAAAAGTGTTGAGGATTTTTATTTTTATTAAAATGTGCTTAATATTAAACTAAATTCAATAAAGTGGCTATAACTTTTTTTTAATCAAAATAGCAAATTAATTAAAAGAGTCTTGCTCCAAAGCCGACCTTTCAGGTCAGACTATTTTGTCTGCTTAGGTGTAAAAACTACATCTGATCTTCAGCCCACTCCCCTGTGTTATATAATGGTTACTCGAGTTACTCCACACCCTTGTGAACTGGACTATTTCCTTGTTAGAAAGCAGTTCAAAGGAAAACTTTATTGATTATCCTGATTAATAACTTGAACACGTGGGCGGATGCAGGGGAGGGGCCACAAGGGCCTTTGCCCCCTTCCGCATAGTAGCTGCCCTGCTGTGTAAAATATTTTTTTAAATCCTGTCCCTGCTGGGACATTGTTTCAGGAAAGCTTTTGATTTTTCCACACTTATTGCTTTGAGCACCTGAAGTGAAACTACCTTAACCTCCATTTTATTGGTTTGGCAGTAGAAATCTTAGAGGTGGATGTCTCTAAAATTCCAGTTAAATTGTCCCTTAAGGTTAAAATTGAGTTAATATTTTTAACAATCTCAATTCTGCTCTTATAAAATCCTTACACAGCTGACTAGTGCCTCAGTAAAGGAATGTTATCTTCCTTAAACATCTAGAGCCACTCAAGTTGTTAATTTACACACCAGAAAGCATTTATAGATAAAGAATTGAGAGAAAACTTGCGGACATGGCTCTTTACTACTAGGGCCTGAGTAAAGGCCATGTTGTCAGAAATCTGAGGTTTATCCTTGTTAGTCTGGTCATTATGTCTTGTGAGGCTCAGCTGCATATAGTCGAACTTGGTTCAGCCTTAATCAGATATAAAGCTATAATCAGATGGACATGAGGCTGGATTACTAACTGGGTAAAATGTCACCTTGTAGTTTATATTAAATATTCCGAGAGTACTACTCAAAATGCAAACCTGGGGTCGGGCAGTGGAGAATGGGAGGACTTGGGGGGGGGTTAATGGGGCCAATAATGGAGCTCAGCAGTTCTTTATTCATCTTAATGGATTTACTTGGAAATTATTGCACTTAGACTCATTTTTCAATGCAAAGTTGAAAAAGCTCAATGAATAAGATGCAGTATCACTCCAATGATGAATGCCTTCTGTTTGATAAAGGACAAATATAGAATCATAAACATTTTATTCCATGTCACACTAACATGTTACTGTTACTGTAAAATGTTAATGTTTAGCATGCTAGCAGGCTAAAGTATCCTGTCATGATACGTCGTCTGTGGTGTACTACAAACTGTGACCTGTTGGTGGTGCCAGATGAAAGGTGCATTATGGACCTGTTGTTTTTTTTATACATCATTTGGTGGCAATTAATTAATATATTTGTAAAAATATTTCACAGAACAGCCAATTGACTGACTGACGTTGACATCCCCTTAGTGCTGTTGAGTTAGTTTTGTAATGTGTGACATTAATTCAGATTAAATTATCTTGATTTAGTTGTAAATTTAAGGCATTAAATAATTAATTTTAATTAGTAGTTATTAGTAGAGTAAGTAGAGCTTATTGTCTGCCCATCGTTCAGCAAATATGGACTCAGTAATTCAACTTCTGTGACCTGTGAGTTACATTACTTTTACATTGGCTGTTAGAGGTGTTATACTGATAGTTTTTCTTACAGGTGGCTTCAGATGGACTGAGTTAAACCTGGAAGATAATGGAGGGAGGTGTCCACAGAAGAAGATGGAATAAATATGTCCCTGTTGGCACAGTACTGCTCCTTATGGTATGAAAAACTTGACTGAATTTACCAAAAATGTTGAATATATATATATATGAATATATGAAAGTGCCTTGTGATGGACAACAGAGCTTTGCTTTATATATTTATTGTTGTTTATCTTCCATTAATGGCCCAAGCTTTCATTTGCTTCAAGCACTGAACTCAACCTGCCTTTATTTGGAACAGGCTTCTATATGGGACAGGCCTTTAATGTCTATGGCACAAACCTCTTGTTCAGCAAAGGGGAGAAATTGTATCAAATTGTTTATTTAAATCAGTATGAATATTACTTGGATTAAAAATTAGGCTAGCGAATAACATCAGTGCTTTTAATTGAAGTCTTACGTTCTATGCTATGTTGCAGTGCATGTTCATCCCTACGTCGACGTTGTTAGAACTGTCAGAGGAGCGGAAATGTCCAACTGGGGACTATCTTACTGAAAACGGAATTTGTTGCTACAAATGCTCTCCAGGTACTTTTTGGCGTCCTGCACATCGTGATTCACAGCAGCATGTTCATTATTGGAAATATCACACATGCAGATTCTACTGTTAAACCCATTTTTACAAAGTCTTAACTGTGTTTACATATAATGGTTATGTTTTTCAGGTTCAAGGCTTGAAGAAGACTGTCAAGCTGAAGGTCAAAGAACTAAATGCACACCATGTGCCTCTGGACTATACACGGACCAGACGAACTACCAACGCAACTGCAGACGTTGCAAAAAGTGCAAAGGTAGGGTAACATAATATTTCTTTCTGAATCAGTTTGACCTGTTTTGATTTCCCACTCTTGTATCAGGTGATGGTTTGCTTTGTTAAGTTGTTCTTTCATTTGAACTTTTCTGCAGCACAGCACGAAATAGAGGAATCACCTTGTAAACCAAACCAGAACACTATATGTCGCTGTGTGGACGGTTATTACAGATCTTATATCGACTCAGAAACATACCAGTGCCTCAGATGCAAAGTATGTGGACCTTACGAAGAGGCAAAACAGACATGTAAGTCTTTGGATCTGCAATGTAATAAATTATACTCAGTTATGTCTATGTAAAAACCTCTTATTTATGTGGCTTATTTGCTCATTTCAGCCTACATAGAATTATTCTTGTTGTGCACAGGTACACCGGAGAGCAACACTGTGTGTGAATGCAAAGAGAACTACTACAGAGTCAACAAAAAGTGTGAGCCCTGCAAGAAGTGAGTGTACTAACATGTATGAGCTTGTACATGTATTGTTCCCTTCCTGCTGTTTCGTTAATGGGGAAGTCGGTTTGTTGAATTGAAACTTGGTTCAATATTTCCATTTGTTGGCAACAGAAGAGAGAAGTTACACTGAAGTCACTGACATTTTAACATTTGGGCTTCATCATGGACTTCATACATATTCTGTTTATGGTCCACCAGTATATGTACATATACACATTAATGTATAAATATCTTTTAGACATTCGTGACAAACTGTTGGTGATTTTAACCTTCACGTTCCTGTGTAGATGTGACTGTGAAACTGTTCTTAAAGTGTATACGTATCAGATGTATCAACACTGGCTGGTGTTAAAAAAGCGTCCTATGTGTTAATCGCTTCCTCTTTATATGTGCTACTTCCTCTTCAATGTTGTGAAACATCCTCTCTGTTCTTCACAGTTGTACCCCTGAGTGCAAGCATCACTGTTCGTCACCTACTCTGAATACAAAGGGTGAGCACTTGTAACATTGTATTAATGCATTGTACTTATCATGTCAGCTTTTATATGAAACACTTAATACACTTGTTTCCAGAATAACAATATATTAATATAGGAATACAGTAGCCTTACATCTAGCCTTCATGGTCATACATTCTCCTCTTCTTGATTACAAAAACACTGAAACATGAAGTCAGAAAGTGTTGAATTACCGGGCACTATATATTTCAGATGTAGCTGCTTCTTGTTAGGTTTTATAACGTTAAATCATTAACGCTTTTTTAACATGTGTCCATCTTCATGTCTCGTTCCCTATGTACCTGTACGGATCCTTATGAAGCTCCTGACATTGGAAAGGAAAATCTTATTAACATAATTGCTGGAGTTGTAGCTGTGACTCTGGTATTGTTGGTGCTGGGTATTGTCATCACCCACGTGGTGACAAAATGGTTTACCAAGATGAAGTTGCAGAAATCGTCTTCCATGCCATCTGACGTCTCCCCAGACTCATTGGAGGTACACTGATCTAACTGTCTGTGGTTACTTATCTCTGGGATGCACGTCTACAGTCAATAAAATTTGATCTTTCCTTGTCTTATAGGTCCTGGTGGACAGTAGAATTCAAAAGGAACCTTCAGACAACAACAATGTCAAGGCTACTCCTTATAGTCCTGTGAGTGACCAGGAGCTACACCTGCCTGACTGTATCCCCTTGGAAATCAAGAGTAAGTGTATTTTATGCTGCACATAGCACAGTGCATGCTCCAATGGTCCAGTGTGTCTTGGCTGAAACATACAGAAAACTATTGTACTAACTCTTATCTCTTCCCCTCAACACCCCCCTCCCCTCTCCCCAGTCCCTGACCTGATCTACACGGTGCTGGATCTGGTTCCCGTACTGAGGGTGAAGCAGCTGGTGCGTTCTCTCGGCGTGAAGGATACAGAGATCGAACAAGCGGAGCTGGATCATCGATTGTCCCGGGAGGCTCACTACCAGATGCTGCGGGTGTGGGCTGAGAAAGGCTCACGGGCAGGTGAAATGCTGCACCGGCCCTATTTGCAGGAGTTGTTGGACAAACTGAGAACGATGCACCTGGGAGGGGCAGCCGAGGAGCTGGAGACAAAGTATGGCATTCAGTAATTCTGCAACACATGCCAAGGGAAACAAAAAAACCAACACCAAGTATTGTCCTGTTTAGAGACTCTATCGCAAATGGACATGGTGCTACCACAAAAGCAGTTTTATTTCACGGCCACCAAGATCACTGAGCATTCTACCTCTCCTGCTACTCACTGAGATGACAGGATCAAACTACTGAGAGCAACAAATCAAAATGTTATTTTGCACTGAAAACAGAATAATTTGGGGATTTTGGGAAGTGGGCTTATTCACTTTAGTTAGTTAGCTTTGTAAGACTGGCACAGCCAAGCCAAAATACACCTACCAGCACCTTCAAAGCTCACAAATACGTGTTACATCTTGTTTGTTTAATCTGTACAAAAACAAAGTGTAATATGCTAAGCTAAGCTAATGGGCTCCAGCTTTGTATTTAAGATAAGATAGCTTTTATTGATACCTGACTGGGGAAATTCACTCGCTACAGCAAAATAGGGGAAAAAAAGGATATAATGAAAATAGAAGCAATAGAATAAAAGCTGTGTGTACACTATATACAACCTTTTTATATAAAGATGTGATTGATATGGAACATTGCAGAAGTCACAGCTGGAGGTAGTGGCATGGTGTGAAAATAAATGATTGCACAAGGACAAAAATACATATAACAGAACAATATACAGGAGAGGTCTAACATTAATAATGACTGTAATGTATTTGTATTTTACATTACAAACATGAGGGTGTGAATAAGCATATTTTCAAAGTAGAGACGCTGATGAAACTTTGTAAGACACAGTTTCTTTCATATTAGGATTTCATACTTGGCTGATCTTTTTTTAATCTTTTTTTATGACATGAATTCATGATTTCACTTAGGACGACTGCATTTTGTTCATTTATTGGTTTTCTTTTATTGAATAGCAAACTGTAACCATTGTACTTGCTCTATCATTAAGCTACTCTGTTTTAGTTATAGTGCAAACATTTGTTTAATCATTAGTCAGAGCATATTTGTTCATTTGTTACTTTGGAGCAGAGGGAAATACAAAATCAACTGCTGGCCTTCAGCCATAAAGTTAACTGGTAATGTTTTCCTGATGATACTGTATAAACAGTGCTTGTCTTGTTATGGGAACCATGACAAAGTTAGGGAAGTTTGCAGTTCCTACTTAATGTAGACCAAACCCCTGACACTTTTAACAGGCTTTTCACAGCCCCATTGGCATCCCTTTAAACCCCATCATACGCATAAGCATTATTCATCACTGTTGGAGAAAACAGGACACGCCTTGTCTCAGTATGCCTCAGCCAAACAGCTTGTATAATACCAGTCTCGACTTGCATATGAATCAGTCACACTCCGACTCACTGAGGACGTGTCGTTCCAAAGAACTTTTCATGCAGTATCAAACTATATTATACTAACAGAGCCATTTATTGAGTTAATAATCAATGTTGAGCAACATATAGAATATTTTTTGTACTTAAATAATAAATAATAAATGAATATCAAATTTATTGTTGTGTGTGTATCTGAATCGTGCCATAAAATGACAGCTGTCATTAATAAGCTGAGAGAGCATGTGGAGGTGTATGGATAAACTCAAAGAGAGGATGTAATCGTGTGTTTAACTTCCAACATGCTGCCAGTCTACATTCCAGCTTGAAGTTTTGAACAATTAATCACATTTGCAATGACATATTTCCTCCTATATGTTTGACTTGTCTTTTGATCTTTTCATCTTGCCATTTCTTTCCCGTAGCCACATTCTTTTGACCTGTGCACTTCCCTAAAAGCTCCCTATATGACTCACCTCTTCTTACCTGCATGTTTTCCATTTCACTGTTATCAAACACCAGATTTTCATGGTTGATTTCACATCAGTGCCTCTCTTTATGTCATGTATTGAGCAAAAGAAACTGCTACACTGCTGTATGAAAACATACAAGACCTCCCCTCTTCAAATGATTTCCTCCTGTTTGCTCAGGGTGATCAATAAGCCTGATTGACATGAAACAACAATAGATGATCCTCAAGGAAATCAGTCACCACCTTAGTTCCACTAAGCACTTTTAACTGCGACACATTAACCAGCTCTGAGCACTGATTTGTTAGCTGCAGAATCCAGTTGTTCCCGTCAGGCCAGTTGCAGCGGGCAGGGGTGCAGGTGAAAGGAAGAGAGGGAGGGACCGAACGAGACAGAGAGAAAGAGGAGGAGAAAGCTAACAGAAACCAAAGATGACAGGCTGAAACAAAATGGATCCAACCAAGGCCAGGTAAAGTCTATAATTCTATCGATTAAAAGGCTCAGCTGGTGGGGCGAGAGGGTGTAGTTGCACTTGAGAGGAACATTTTACTTCATGTTTTCACTACAGTAAGTCACTTTCATGTTGGAGCTGCAGTGTGGGACCATGGACTCTCCTGTGGATACTTTTTTGTTGATTTAGTGAGGCTATAAAACTACCAGGAAGCCAGTTTTTTTCTCATTGGGTTTAATTAAGTGTTACAATATGCAATATAATGTAATTTCAGAAATCTTTAGTTTGTTATTGTGGGATACAGACAGTGATTGTAAACAGGTATGACACTGTGATGAAAGCACTTGCGTCAGTCCTTTGATGTTTGACAGTACAGCCTGAGCCGATTAGTGCAGCGTACCTGTCTGCGGTGTGTGTGCTCATGTGAGTGTTTGCTATTGGAATAGCCAAATCATGCATACCAGTTGCAGCAGTTATCTCGAGCTGCACCTACAGCGCAGCGTGAAGCAGTATCTAACAGTGGTCATCCTGCAGTGTGTAAAAAAGGGCAACATCAGTGAAATGGAGAAATATTTAGTTGAGATACAGTAGCTTCCAGAGAGTGGAGACACATTCTTCTTCGCTGTAACTTAAATCTGCAGCAGGACATTCTGCAAGTTGTGATGGTGTTGGATTTGTGGGAACCAATGTCAGATGAGTCCAGGAGTTGTACTTTGACCCACATGACTGTGTAACTGGAGCTGTTGCTATGTGAAACTATAGGTGTTAAATGAAAGTCACTGTAAGATGCAACAGTAATGATGTGTGTGCTCCCAGTTACCTGACAGGCATTTACTGTGTATGTATGACATAGAACCACAAGTTTCTGCAATAGTTAAACTCTTCTTATTATAGCAAACTGAAATGAAAAATCTCTATATACTATAGATATTTAGCTTTTTTTGATGATTTTATTTTTGTTTTGCAAGATACATTTACCAAAATAAGAAAGCAGAAAAACAAAATATTTCTGGATATTTCAAACTGGACCATAAATAGGGTTATTTTGAGGCCGTTTTTAAAAAGGAATGACCCATGTAGTCATGAATGATCTGATGCTTGTTGTTGCTTTTATGGTCACAGCAGGTAGACATGTGAAAGTTGACATGCTTTATTTATTTATCCCATTGCTTATTATTTATTTTACTCCTTGTTCTCATCTGTGTTTGTTTGTTTGTGTAGCTTTTATGAAGCTTTAGTCCTGAAAGGATAACCCTTTAAAAGGATAACAAAGCACACAATGTCCCTCCATTATGTCTTCCACTATCTTATAAAGCCTTCTCCTCTGTGCCCTCACACACCTAGTTTTGGCAACGAGTAACACTGTGTGCTTATCCTCAGCCTTCCCTCAAAAGCGCCGCATGTAAACAATGGTGTGGGAAATGAATCACTGATGGAAGAAACATCAGTGCCGTCACGAGATGGTGTGGACGGGGAGAGACAGAAGGACACGGACACCAGAGAGTCAGACGTTGTTGATGGGATGACAGCAGCTGCAGAGATAAACAATCACCACAGGGGGTCAGCAGACAAACACAGGTTCAATACGTTTGGCTATCAGGCAAGTGAAATGGTGGTGGCAGCTTCCTGTACTGACATTGCCAGTGGTGATATTGAACTAACTACACTTACAGTATAAAGTTTTGAGCTACTTGTGCATTACTTGAGCATTTCCATTCTGTTACTTTTCATAATTCTGCTTATTCAGAGTATTGCACTTTTACTCCAATCTACATCTGTACATAATAACAACTAACTACCTCTGTATTATTTCAAATTATTATCAAAATTCAATCAACCTTTTAATGAGCAGTAACTGTACATCTTTTAAGATCCAGGCAGTAATTAATAAAACATTTACATTTAATAAAACACAAGTTGTTTTACATTAAACAGGTCAAAATATTCTCACGGCATTGCAAGCTTTAAGGACTCAATAATAGACATTAATGCATTTCTGACATTGAGGATTTTGCAGGTTTAATAGCTCATTACAAAAATGTTGTTTACACATGAATGCATCATTCATTAAAACCTTTTAATGTATACGAGACTATGAAAGGAGCCATTCACCATAACAAGAACTTTTACTTTTGTCACTCGAAGTACATTCTGCTGATAGCACCTCTGTACTTTTATACTCTCAACTGATTTCAAAGGACTTTTACTTGTGATGGAGTATCAAGTGTCCAACAGTCTGCTTGATGCTTGCAGGTTGAGGTGTTACAGACAACCTAAAAATTAAATGCCTGATGGTATTTTTCCTTTCCAGAGGCGGACCAAGCAGAAGGTTGTGACTGACTTTGCAACAGTGAGTAAGGGAGCATCTGCAGGAGCCAAACCTAGAGCTGCACTGAGGCAGGTCCTGTTCAGCCAGGGAGTGTCTGAGAAGAACCCGACGTCTGAGGTTTTATGTTGTCTCCTGTTAATTCACTACATGCTGACATGCTTGGAAACAGATACAGACTTGCTCTAACTGTGTCTGTGCGACTGAAACAACTGGGGGGAAAAAAATCCCAAAAAAATTCACAACAGCTGTTGATGATCTTTTCACTGATTCATTTTGGCATCACATTTTCCTCCTTTTAATCCCGGAATTGGGTTTCCCCCGATCCTTCTACATTCTAATGTTTGTCCTCCCACCACTCAGGAGCGAGGCCATCTGGATTTGTTGAAGCAAGAGCTGGGGACCTACGCTGTGCCAGTGAGTCTAAAGTGGAGGTGGAAAGAAGAAAGTCGAGGAACGACACTGGAGAAGAACTGGACAGATATTGTATACTCTCATTCGGTATGGGCTCTCTGGCAATATTTTGTATTTTCCTTACTGCCAACAAATCCCATGAAAAGACCAAAATCAACAATGAATTGATCCTGTTAACAAGTATTGCCTTGTATCCAAAGGTTTATGTACTGTAGTTTACTCATCTGTTCCATGGAGCTCCACTGTTGTCCAAAGCTATAAAAACACATCAGTGAGCCACTTGGTTGCACTGTGCACTGAGTGACGTGTTCCTTCATTACCATTACCAGTCCAACATGCACCATCCTGCTGCTGTAAATACTCACTGTGGCACCACATCTGCAGCTGAAAATAGTCCCCAAAAACTACATTATTTACTCTTCTTTGAGTAAGCTTTTTTAGGAAAATTATTTAGCACTTTTTAAATATGAAAGTATATTTTCAGGATGAATGGATATTAGATCTACAGACAAGCTGGGGAAGTGCGAAAGAGTTAACTATTAATTAACTACTAGTACCTGCCCTGTGTGCGTAGGATAAGATTACATTAGACAGTTTTATTAATTTCCAGTGGGGAAGCTAATTTGCAGCCAAATCAACTAATACAGACAACAAACAATATACAATGCATTCACAGTGCCATTAAAAGCCATTTGAGACATGACTGACAGCCGGAATTACCACATCTAAAAGTGTTCATTAAAAAATCTGACAGCTGCTGAAACGAAAATTAGAAGCATATCTAACTATTGTCTCCTTTTCTTCCTCTTGCCTCTCTCCTCTTCTGTCTTGTTTTAATGGTCAGACGATGTCTAAGATGCAGAGACACCAACAGGAGGCGCTGTGGGAGTTTGTTCATACTGAGCTCACCTACATCAACAAGCTAATTATCATCAAAGACGTATGTCATTCTCTACCTGCTGTCATAGTCTCATTTAAATGCTGTATTTCTTCTTATAAACTGTATGTGAAACCTGAAAAGGGATTTTCCACAGGATGTTTAACAAAGATGTGTCTGCTTCTCGCAGTTGGTTATTGCAGCTCTTGTCAACCTGCACCAGCATGGATTTCTCCTGGAGGTCAGTCTGCAGAGCATGCAGCCTCATCTACATTGGAAACACACAAACACGCTGCACAACACACTTAATCTACAGTCCTATTTTCCACTGCTCTGCATACCACTGACATACATTACTTAGCACAACAAGAACATCCGCTCAAGCTGATACAGACTACAACACATAAGTGGAAAATGTACCACGACAGATTTCCAACGAGAAGACGGAAAATATCACAAAGCAGGGGTGTTAACTTTAACACTATGATTTTTATTTTTGTTTTGACATCCTGCTGTGACAGGTGACCCCTGAGCTGCTTTTCTCCAACCTTCCCTCCATTCTCGTCTCACACCAGCTGTTTTGGCAAGAGGTGATTTATCCCATGTTACAGGAGGTCCGGAGGACAGGCATGCCCTTTGACC